ATGATCGAGGAAGTCTGATGTAATGATCTGTGCTCTTGTCATGTCTTCAGTGAACACATCAACTCTTGGATAAAGAGGGAGTTGGGAAGAGGATGGGAAGAATTCCTGGCTTTTAGAGGGGAAGCACCCATTCCAACAATTGGAACTTGAGTTTCTCAGCAAGCCTCACTTCTGTGGGCTAAAGTGAACATGAAAGGCAGTCTAGGATACAAGGGCTACAGTTCTTAGGCAAGTCCTGATGTTGTGCTGAGCTTACAGCCAATGGACTGGGGCAAAATGTAGGACACCAGAAAGGGCAGCTGGGGGAGTGCTTACATCCACTGTATTAGTCCATTCTCATGTTGCTAATAAAGACATAACCAACACTGGGTAATTTATAAAGGAAAGAGGTCTAATTGACTCACAGTTCAGCATGGCTGGAGAGGCCTCACGAAACTTACAATCGTGGCAGAAGGCAAAGAAGAAGCAAGGCACCTTCCTCACAAGATGGAAGCAGGAAGGAGAAGGGTAAGTAAGGGAAATACCAGAGTCTTATAAAATCTCAGATCTCATGAGACTCACTTATTATCATGAGAACAGCATGGGGGAAACCAGCCCCATGATTCAATTACCTCTACCTGGTCCCACCGTTGATTCATGGGAATTATGGTGATTACAATTCAAGGTGAGATTTGAGTGGGGACACAGAACCAAACCAGAGACTTTGTTTGGGAAGATGTAAGGGAAGAGAAAAAGAGTCCCTGCCTGGTAATCCAGAGAATTGTTTGGGATTTTCCAAGAACACAAAGGTGGTACCTCTAAGGCTCTGCTAAAATCACACTGTTACTGGGCTTGGGACACAAGTCCCTTCAAATACCCAGTGTACAAGACCTTGGGAGCCCACCCCTTGTATCAGTGTGGCCTGGATGTGAGACATGGAGTCAAAGGAGATTATTTTGGAGATTTAATGACTGCTCTGCTGGGTTTCAGATTTGCATGAAGTTTATAGCTCCTAGCCAAGTATTAAGCAAATACTACCAACCTTGATGTAAGAATACTGTAAATTCAGCTTTATTCTGAGCTAGAACAATGTCCCTTGTGCTAAAACTATTCTCTTATTTTGTTTCCATCTTTACCCAAAGAAGTAATCTAGTGGTTTTAAAATAGTTTCATTAATTTTTTTAAGGCAATATGGTGTCATGAACAGTACACTGATTATTTTACTCTAAGCTCTAGGATGCATGTGCAGAACATGCAGGTTTATTACATAGGTATACATGTGCCACGGTGGTTTGCTGCATCTATCAACCCGCCATCTAGGTTTCAAACCCTGCGTGCATTAGGTATTTGTTCTAATGCTCTCCCTTTCCTTGCCCTCCACCCTCCAACAGGCCACAGTGTATTATGCTCCCCTCTCTGTGTCCATGTGTTCTCATTGTTTAACTCCCACTTATGAGAACAGGTTGTATTTGTTTTTCTGTTTCTGTTTCAGTTTGCTGAGAATGATGATTTCAGCTTTGTCAATGCCCCTGCAAAGGACATGAACTCATTTTTTTTTATATGGCTGAATAGTATTCCATGTGGTATATGCCACATTTTCCTTATCCAGTCTATCACTGATGGGCATTTGGGTTTGCCAGGTCTTTGCTATTGTAAATAGTGCTGCAATAAACACACAAAACCACGGATTTTGATGTCAGGACTCTAGAATCATGACTTTACTACTCAAACATTGTATGACCTTGAGCAGATCACTTTCTTGCCTCTCAAATGGAGGTGATATCTTTCCTCTTCAAAACTTTCAGTCTCCTAGATCATTATCAGTTTTGTTCAACCTTCCTAGGAAGTATTAGGAATTACTAAAGTTCATGTAGTTTAAATGGATCAAGCAAATGTTATGAAGATATAATATATTTTATGCAATAAACTCAACACTTAACCTTTTGGGGCCATGTGAAAGTAGAAGTTGGACTAATGGTTATATTTTCCACTCTGCACTTTAACCAAGATAGTTGAAGATTAAAAAAAAACTTTAATAACTTTATGATCAAGGAATAAATTTAAACAAATTGAATGACTAATGGAAAGTCTGCTACTTTGGGAAAGAAAACTAATAAATGTCCATTTAAAATGACAACAGTCAAGCAAGTAGCATTTTATCCATTTTCGAGGAAAGAAACTGGTTGAGAAAAGTAATTTCTTCATGATCATACAATATGCTAGATATGAAATTCAAAAACCTAAAGCTAGATCTGAGTGAGAAAGCTACCTTCTACCATACTAGTTGTTCTCACAATTCAATGTGCATCAGAACACCTGTGGCACTTGCTTCTCGGAATGTGCATTGTTATAAACACATCATGTAATGTTCTGGTGGTCCAGGATACACACTTAAGAACAAGAGCCCATTAGCTCTGTTAAGCATTGTTCAAATCTGCACTAGTTACTGAAAACTGCCAATTCAGGGAAATCAAACTATGTGTCTTTATAATAAATTAGCAGTTGTTGTTTTTATCTAGCTATAAACCAAAACAGTCCCAAACTACTGTGATCCTAGAATTCTTATCTGAAAGGCTCACAGATAACGTGTTCCAGTAGTATTTCATAAATACACATGATTATTGCTAACTTTGAATCTGGTAAAAGATAAGCCTACCTTCCCTGAATTAATCATAAAATGTATTATCCAAACTGGGACACTTTTGAGAGTGAAAAGGGAACTATTAATAATTATTGATGACAAGGGGCATTAACTTGCACCATCCTAAGCAAACCATAGGAGGGAAAACTTCTCTTACCATGTCCTATTAGTATTACATATTTTTATAGAATCAGTATCATATTCCTAATCCAAAACAATCAGTGAGTTTACCATGTGTTTAATTTTAATTGGAAGAATATGATTCAAAAGGAAGACAATACTATATTTCTGGTGTGCCCAAAGTCAACCCAAATGAGGCTGCAACTGTGAAGGGAATACCAGCTAAGGGACTCCAGTCAAATCTTAGAATGCCACTTTATACCTATGACTGGACAAATTATTTCTCTCTTGAGTCTCAGGCTGGTCATTTGCAACATAAGCATAACAACATTCACCTCAGAGTTATTCATGGATCAAATGAGGTACCAAACCCATTCGAAGGTGTCCCATAGAAGCTATAAAATGTTATACACATGGACAATACATATAAAGGAAAATCTAAGACATATCATCTAACAGCAGCTGCAGTGATACTGCTGGATACTTTCAGATTGTTTTTGATGGAAATATTTCCACTTTAAGAACTTTCTGGTCCTCATGGGATTTCTCAGCAGGGCAGTGTTCTGGATCATCCCTCAGTAGACACAGGCATGATAGTGATCACTGTATGTGGTAGAATGACCCCTGCAACTATCTTTACTGTTAAAGTGTACATCAAAAACTATGACCCCATTACCTTCAGCACCTACAGAATTAAACATAACTTTCAGGAGTACTGTCCTACTACATTCTTCCTATATACCAACTATTTTATTAGGTCCTCTGGCCCCATCCTTGGAGCTAAGCATGGCAAGTCAACACCAATGCCATCTTACAGTATGAGTTTGTGGAGGAAGCATGTGATGAGGCATCAGGACCCTCAAGTACTGGGACTGGCCTAGCCACTATCTGGCCATGTGATATTGGGCAAAACATACCTGTAAAATAAGATAATGAATTATATATCACTACGGAACCAATGAACTTTGGCTTTCTATTATTCTAAAACAATCCTGGCATTTTATAAGTCTATATGACTGTCTTCTTGGATATTTTCCTTCCCCTTTTCCTAACCTTTCTCAGAAGAAAAAGTTTAAGCCCAATTAAACAGAAAGATGCATTTGAAGTAGAGATTTCAGAATACGCTTACAATGAAATACACAGATAAAATAGTTGTTCAATTAAAAAACATTTATCTTTTCTAAATAAAAGCAAAATGGGAGTTGTAAATATGAACTAAGAAATGTTGGTTTTATAAGGTAACCAGCTATATGACCGTGATCTTGAGGTGTGATATGGTTTGCTCTGTGTACCCACCCAAATGTCATCTTGTAGCTACCGTAATTCCGTGTTGTGGGAGGGACCTGGGAAATAACTGAATCATGGGAGTGGGTCTTTCCCACGCTGTTCTCATGATAGTGAGTGAGTCTCACAAGATCTGATGGTTTTTTGTTTTTGTTTTTTTTCTTTTTTGGACAGAGTTCCCCTCTGTCACCCAGGCTGGAGTGCAGTAGCACAATCTTGGCTCACCGCAAGCTCTGCCTCCTCCCAAGTTCAAGCAATTCTCCTGCCTCAGCCTCCCAAGTAGCTGGGACTACAGGTGTGTGCCACCATGCCCAACTAATTTTTGTATTGTTAATAGAGATGGGGTTTCACCATATTGGTCAGGCTGGTCTTGAACTCCTGAACTCTTGATCCACCTGCCTCAGCCTCCCAAAGTGCTGGGATTACAGGGATGAGCCACTGCACCTGGTCTGATCTGATGGTTTTAAAAATGGAAGCTTCCCTGCACAAGCTCTCTTTCCTTGTCTGCTGCCATCCATGAAGATGTGACTTTTTGCCTTCCACCATGACTGTGAGGCCTTCCCAGTCATGTGGAACTGTTAAGTCCATCAAATCTCTTTTGTAAATTGCCCAGTCTCAAGGACGTTTTTATCAGCAGCATGAAAACGGACTAATACAAGGTGCTAGACAAGGTGGGGCTCTATAAATTCTAAATTCTGCAATTCTAAGACATTCTTGGTATTTTAAATCTCTAGATGACTGCCATCATTTTCTGATATTTTTCCCTTACATGTTCCAGTCTATTCTCATTACAGAAGAATATGTTTAACATACAATTACAGAAGCAGATGTTTTGAATAGAGATTTAAAGTACTTTCAAAATATATTTGGATTGAAATATACAGGTAAAATTGCTTTTGAGTCAGGAAATATTTATTCTTCCTCATAAATTAAATGAAACTGTGAATACAAACCAAAGGACATTGATCTCACATGGTAACTCTGAATTCTTTTAATTCTGAAACCAGAGACATGTACAACACTTACACAATTCACACACTATTTTCAAAATAGATTTTTACCCCTAAAAATGAAAATTCTTAGTGACAAGCTTTAGACATGTAACTTATCTTAGTGTGTATTAACTTTGTCACAAAAAGCAACTACGGACAAATAGTTTTCCCCTCTTCTGACATAAGAAAGTGAAATTACAGACTTTTAAAGCAGAAAAAAAATTTCTCCAAAATGCAAATGATTAAAGTGCAAGGAACAGAAGATCTCAATTATTCAATTGAGTGAATAATTTAGTTTGCATATTAACTCCTTTTCTTACCACTTCCTGATTTCTGATTCTGGTAAAATTTATCCTGTAGCTACTGGGCAAGGCACTGGGAACACAAAGAAGTTTTAGACAAGGTCTACTGGTGTGCTGGTAAAGGTTTCACAACTAGCTCTTGAGGGAAAGGTGGGTCTTCACTTAGAGCATTTACCAATTTCTACGGTATAAATCCTCCAACTGTGGCAGATTTCAAGCTACCAACAATTTGACAACTGTCTCACAAAACTCCTCAAACGAATGATTGCTACTCACAAACCATTATAAGCCAGCTCTGACACACCACTGTATGCCCTCTACCTTCAAGTAGCTCATAATCTCTTCGTGGGTGCCTATGTAAGAGGATATAAAAGAATGGGGAATATTGAGATAAAACTTAAGTCAATTATATTTTTAAGAAGGTTTTAAAAGTTAGGAGGTGCTGGGCACAGTGGCTCATGCCTGTAATCCCAGCACTTTGGGAGGCTGAGGCGGGTGGATCAGCTGAGGTCAGAAATTCAAGACCAGCATGAACAATATGATGAAGCCCTGTCTCTACTAAAAATATAGGGCATGGTGGCATGCACCTATAATCCCAGCTACCTGGGAGGCTGAGACGAGAGAACTGCTTGAACCTGGGAGGTGGAGGTTGCAGTGAGCCAAGATCCCGCCATTGCACTCCAGCCTGGGCAACAAGAGCAAAACTCTGTCTCAAAAAAAAAAAAAAAGTTAGAAGGAATACGAATTTCTGTGTGATTTTCCTACTTCCTTACTATTTCCCTTTTCCTCTTGCTTAAATTTATTTCAGAAAATTATAGTGTAGAATACTTGAGGGGAGAGTAAAGGATGAGTGAAATAAGAATTTTAAAAAGACAAGAAAAAACATCAAAACATCCTAAGAAATATACTAACAGTTATCATGTTTCCATTACAAAAAAAAACCTACTAAGATAAGAGCAAATATAGTGTAACTATTACAATTCCAGCTGCTTCAAGCCCCTTCAGTTCAGTTCACAAGTCATGAAGATTTGTCCTGACTTCTTTGGCTGCTGTTTTGATAAGATTAGCTGGCTTCTTTAGCACTGTATTGAAGAGCACACAGCTTTACACCACTTACACAAGCAGCTCATAATAAAAGGCAGATCTAAATTTTGGAGTCTGAAAACTGAGCTTCCCCTGCATAGGCACCCCCCACCTTATATCAGATCTTGGGCAACTGCCGGCTAGGGTGACCAGGGAATTCTTCTGGTAGCAAAACGTGGAGTCTGCAGGTTGGACATGTCCCCTGTTGCATCAACCATGGTCTAATGCACTAAGGAGCAAAAAGATTTATGTCAGTCTCTTAAATTTAGCCTAGCAAAGGCAGTTGTCACTTCTTTGGGTGGATCTTTAAAGCCTTACCCTATGGCTTGTCAAGACAATTGCTGCAAACATGGCACTTCCTATGGTTTGCTGAGCAAAATAGGTGGTGAATGCACAATATCTTTTAGCCAGTTTATTCTATTAGAAATTATTTCTCCAACCCCCATTTTCAAGATGACTAGCAATTCCTCCTGACAAAGAAATTAGAGAAACTTGCTATATTCTTTCTTTGGTTTATTATATACTGTTCTCATTTATAATCCAGAAAAAGTCATAACTAATCTGTGAAAGTCTCTAGTACTTGGTATGAAATGCTTATGGTGTTTGCAGTTAAAATCCCTAAATGACAAATATACTTCTCAGATTGTTTTCTTCGGTGATAATGATAGTAATTTTTGACCATGAACTATCGGTTAAGTCATTTGCTTGAATACTGACTCTCCAAAAACAAATCATTTTTCCCTATATAAATAATGGAGGGGTGGGTCAGATGAGAGAGGATTAATATTAAGCACTATATATAATAGGCCCACTAACTATAGCCATAAAAAATAACATAAATGAATTATGTGCTTTCTACTCATGGGCAATGGCAAAGAATAAGATAAGTTTTGTTGAACATATATTTTCCAAATTATAGGACCTTATAAACTTCAAAGGGGAAAGTCAACAGCTAAGGATCTTTCCTGGAGAACTTTTGGGATTAGGCATTTTGTGGATCTCTCTTCATATCAAAGCAAATGCAAAGTATAAGTCTGTACCAGGTACCACATATCATATCTTTGAAATGATGTCTTAAAAACATGGGTTGACTGAATTGGCTATTGTTCACTTCCCTGAAAAACCTTTCTTTTGTATGATTATCTTTTCCTGTGTCAAATTACATATCTGCAGCAGAGGACTTGGATCATAAATTATATATCAATAGTAACTGCATGGCAGTAACACCAGAAGTTAATCTATATAAATGCCAAGAATCAACAAAAGACATGCCAACCACACATTTTTCTAACATCAAACCTCAAGCCTGAGCATCTTTCAAAAGCAAATATAGGAGCCTGAACAGACTGCTAAGTCTTATGCTTTATGATAGCGGCTGTCATTAATTATGGACAAAGGACACTATATGGTATTTATAACATGTCAGTCTCAAGTGGTGCTGTTACTAGTTCTGCCACTAAACTACCACGTCAATTGACGTCTGTCCCAGTTCTGTTCAAAGGAACTGCCTACTGTGTACCATATGAATATCAACATTGTCCCCTTCTTCTGTGGGTGGATGGAGATCTGAGAAAGCACAGTGCAAATCCATGGCTATGTATGGGAAAGGCATGTTTCTGTGTGGCACCCAAAAGCTCAGAGTCATACTCAGTGGAACTCCTGAGACAACAATAAATAATGATGCATGTATATGATAGTAAGTAAGGCATATAAATCTCACATAGCTGATCAATGGGAAAATTTAAAGGGTTACCTGAGCATGGAATTTGTGAGCACAAGGCAAAACTGAAAGGTTTTCTGGAGACAGATTCTCATGACAGATCACACAAGGCTCTTCTTCCTCCTCTTCCTCATCCTAGGGAAAATATAGAATATGTTAAATTTAGCTCATTTTTTCCCTCCCAAATCTAAATGTGTACAGAATCAACAATGTCAGTCTCACTGGCTTATTGGCTCCTTCCCATGTGGCAGAACTTTGTGAAGTGAGGGGCCGCCAGGCTGGTTTTGGAGGCTGGGCAGCATTAGGCTGTGATGGAGAATGACTAGGTGAAACACAATTACCATTTGACACTGATTTTCCTTGACTCTGAAAATAAGAATATAATGTTTATTTTTTCAGAATTGTCCTAAAATAGTAAGAACCGACACATTAGCACAGAATGGGGCATAGTGAGAACTAGCAAATGGCTAAACAATCAGAATCATGAGAAATCTTGAACAAAATTATGGCAATACTTATATCTTCAGAGCTAGGTAAAAACAAAAATAATTCTATTTTAATTAAAATAAATCTTTCAAGAAAATTAGAAAAATATCTCCCTCTTTAGACTCATTCAAAATAACTAGAGCAAATTTCAAGGAGGTCAGTTTTATTCTAGAATGATTCAGTGATAGGTATTTCAAAAAGACTTCTGATACCATTTGTTAAGCTGAACTTATTTACTGCCAATAAATGATTTAATATGATTACAAGTTGCTGATTTTCTGAATAGATTACGGAGATATTTAAAACAGCTAACTACCAGAGATAAGGACAGAGAGATACAGGGTTTTTTTTGTTTGTTTTTCCATTTTACCTGAGATTTTTTGGGGTCAATAAACTGGGAAATCTTGCAAACAATTTCATCAAATGTCAGTCCAGACAAGGACTTCCCATGAGCGTCTTTCAATTTTCGTAAGAAATCTGTAAGTTCCTTTCTGGAAGAGATCAAGGAAAGAAAAGAGCAGTAATGATTTTCCTTAGTACCTTGAGGATGTGCCCACTAGAAGAGATATAAAATCGTAGCATATGATTCATATGTAGCATACAGAAAGGACTCTTTAGGTCTTTGATCCAAAAAGTGATCACAGGTTCATCCGCATTTATCTTAAATCAAAATGAAAAGTCCTAATTGTGTTCATTAATGATACTCAACATTTTCATGAGTGATAAAGTTTAGTACTATCTTTTTTTCCAAAAAGAGGTTTTGTTTTTGAGAACTCACTAGGTAAAAATTAAGTTTATCCACCTATTTATGCACTGGGCTCTTTATACCATCTCTCTCAAGTGGTCTCTTCCTCAGGATAACATATTCATTTTTAACTATGTTGCTATTGGATTCTCTCTTCCTTATCAGTGTTAATAGCTGTACTTTGTAAAACTCAGAAAACAAAGATTAAACAGAACAGGAGGCCAGGCACAGTGGCTCATGCCTATAATCCCAGCACTTCGGGAGGCTGAGGCAGGTAGATCACCTGAGGTTGGGAGTTCAATACCAGCCTGACCAACATAAAGAAACCTTGTCTCTATTAAAAATACAAAAAATTAGCTGGGCATGGTGTCACATGTAATCCCAGCTACTCAGGAGGCTGAGGCAGGAGAATTGCCTGAACCCAGGAGGCGGAGGTTGCGGTGAGCCGAGATCACGCCATTGCACTCCAGCCTGGGTAACAAGAGTAAAACTCCATCTCAAAAAAAAAAACCAAAAAAACAAAACTATAATTTAATAATGAAGTATGCCAGTATGTGTATTAAATATATTCAAATAAAAATACTTGTGAAAACTAGAATTATTTCCTTAGATATAAGTTGAGATAAAAGAATCTTCATTTGTGTAGGAGTAGAATTATATATCTTACTACTAAAGATAGACTGTGAAAAACACAGTGAAGTCATGATTTCTTGCATTTTTACTACGTTCTCTAACAAAGAAACTATCCTCAAAATAAAGAACATTAGGAAACTAAACCCTGAAGATGTTTGGGCTTATATAGCATACAATCAACTTAAAATTCACTTTGGAGATAGGATAAGATAATTATGGCAGTTAATGCTATTAAGATTGGGTAAGTTTATATCTAGTTGTACTTTCAGTAAATGAGCAAACCTAAATTTAAAGTTATTCTCTCATGATTTGAGACTGGTAACTTTTTAATGAAGAAGTGCAGCATTGAACACTGCCCATTCTTGATAAATTTCTTTTTTCCCTACCAAGGCCAAGGTAAGGAAACATCTGTATATTTTTTGTGTTTTTTAGGTTTCTCTAAAACGTTTCATTGCCACAATTATGGCTATGAAAGTTGGAGAATATGATCTGTACCCACCAGTAAATAAAAACTAAGGTACCTGGTCTGTTGTGGAAAGGCAGTTTTCAGCCTGTCTGTAATTCTCTCCCAATTCATCATGGAGGGATCACTCCCCAGACCTGCACTGGGGGGCACAGCATCTCCTACAGGCACTGGCAGAGTCCAGGCTATGCCAGTCATCTGTAAGGGGCAGAGAGTTATAGCCCATTAGGTTTAATTATTAAGAAGTGACATTCCTATATCTCAGAAAATGGGTAGAATGAAGAAGAGTACTGGCATACACATTCTCTTTTTACAGTTTTTCTCTCAACTAATATTTCTAATTGTTCATAACTGTTTTAAACTTAGTTTAAAAATAGGACAAAGAAAATGGGTAGAATGAAGAATAATACTGGCATACACATTCCCTGTTAGGGTTTTTCTTTTAACTAATACAAACAATATTTCTAATTGTTTATAAATATTTAAACTTATTTTTAAAATAGACATGCTTGCTTCAGTAATTACACACATGTACAGAAAAACATGAAGGCTGTTTAATACTATTTTTTTTAACAATGAAAACTGAAAACAACCTGAGGTCTGTAAATAGAGGAATGAGTAAATAAATTATGGCACATCTAATCAAGTTTTTAGAAATAGATTCATATGTCTGGGCATAAGAGATGTCCATGAATTATGATTTTTTAAAAAGTCTGTGGCATATGATTTATGATATGACTTCCTTTTACATTAAAATTTTTTAATGCATATGTATACACAGAGAAAGGTCTGTAAATTAAAATATGTAAGAAGTGATTATTTCTTAGGGATTAAACTGCACAGTAACTTTGTTTCCTAATGTGCTTACATTTCTATATTATTTTCATTTTGTGATTAACATATATACCTTTATGACAGAAAGGTAAAGTTAATTTTTCAAACCATGAAATAAAGATGGGAATACCACTAGAATTGCTCTGCCCAATGTCTCATCAAGGTAGACAAAGATGGTGTAGAAGTTGTAGTGACACTTGGCTATGAAACTATCAGTTTTCCCCACATTTTATTGTAGTTCCTTCTTAATTCTAATTAAATAATATAGTAAGTGAGTATTTTTGGAGTGCTCATCTGATTACTAAAATAATTATAAATGCTGCACCTTCTATGTAAGGCTCTAATGAGTTATTTTCGAATATTAGATTATTATTTGTGAAAAACTAGCAACAAGTAGCAGTCATTGGAATAATTTGTACAAAGCCTAATAAGTGAGAACCAGAATACTGCCTCTCAGAAATCTCAATTTGTTTCAATGTCAAGCTTTACCACAGGAATCAGAAAGTAATCTTATTAGGAGGTTAACGTATTTTAATGTTTTCAATAAAAATTTATCTGCGTTCCTTATAGAATGGTGGGAAACCAAACTGCAAGAGTTAACACTGTAATATCACAATAATAAAAAGATGTGCTACTTATTTAACATGTTAAGGACTATATACATATTTGTTTGTAGACAGGTAGTCTCGACACTAATAAGCAGAGTCCATCTGACTATATATTTCAAAAGGAAACTGTTAACAATATATGGGGACCAGAAAAGAAAAGAAACAATTAAGTGCACCTAAATATACTTATAAGAAATTCAAGATTAGAGAATTTTCATTAATTATATCTAACATCATTCTTTTGGAATATTTTTCTTTAATAAAAGAAGCTTACCTTTGCCAAGATTACAACTGATAATTCTGGTAATTTTAAATGTATTTGTTTTCCTTCTTCAAGTTTAGATAAACTTTATCTGGCTATTTGTAGCTGGGAAGATTTATAACTGTACAGTATATGTTCCAAGAGGAGGCTATTCATATCATCTGTTTATACATATAGTTGATACACTGTAGTACTATGTGCGTGTATGTGTGTGGAAATAAAAGTTTCTTTAGCTTTGTGCTATAATTTAGTTTGTTGTGACTTGGCTTCTTTGCTTTTCAATCTTCCCAAGAACCATGCCAAAAAAAATCTATTAAAAATAATCAATTTACCCTGCATCGTTGCCTGTTCAGAAGCAATGCTATAATTTTAAGGACTCTCTAGTATAAAAACACATTTATTTTTGTATCCCAAAATTAAGCTATTATCAGTGAAATAATATATGTAACACCCTGAGCACAGTGCTTCACAGGAAGTACTCATTCAGTTATCACCACCACCACCACCACTGCCACCATTATCATATCAGATAAAGGAACAAAGTGAATATACTCATTCAGGAAGCCCACTATAGTAATAAAAACACTAATTAACATATATTCCACCAAGAAAGCTTTTACCAGGGGGGCTCTAGGTTGGCCAGTTGCAGAGATGACTCCTGGGCAAACTGCAGGCATTTGAGGAACAGTAAGTATGGGTCTAAAGAAAGATTCTTTCACAAGGGGTCTTCCTAAGAACTGCTGCATCTAAAACAGAAAACATAAACAATAATAACAAACAAAACACCCCATACATATTTATGTATTTACATACGCAACCATCTAAATTCATACAGCAATAATGGGGGGGACACTCATTTGAACTCAAGATGCAAACAAAGCACATTGGAAACAATGTATGTCAGAAAATTAAATAAATGAATATCCAAAAAACAAAGGGCAATGAGATACACTGAGAAAAACATTAAAAAAGAGAGAAAAGAAATAGATTCTAGTCATATTTCTCTCTACCTAGCTGAATAACCTTGGAAATCAATTTTCTAATCTATAAAATGGGAGGGTCTGATAAGGTAATCTTTATCCTTCCTTCCCAACTGTAATCACATAAGATTACGCAAAGGAGATTCTCAAGAAGTGTTATCCACATTGGTGGGCAATAATGATAATGAGAAATTTCACAAAACACCCCAAAGTTATCCACAGACAATATTTCTTTCTTCATTTATTGGAGATAATACTTAATGAATTCTGACTTAATGTTTAGCTCCAAGGAGAGTTGGAAGAGGAAGTAAGATGGGCCTGGGAGATAAACTCTGCTATAGTGACTTGCAGATATGCTTGTGGGTATCACCACACTTCCCAGGGGGTTGCGGAAATATAGACTTTCTTAGCAGCTATCTGTGGAAAAGATACCTTGTTGGCTGGAGTAGAGAAACGGGTAGATTTATTGAATATGTACGATATTCCAGGCCTAGTACTGGCATAAAGCATAAAACAGGAGTTCAATAACAATTTGTTATTGAAGTTAAAAAACGAGCAACAGCAACATAGCTCTAATGATTGAAAACTTCATGGAGAACTTTACAATGGAAAGGCTGGATTGGCACTTGATTCTCACTGTCTGAAAAGAAAGAACATTATATGCCTGCTAGGTAAGAAAAGGAGATTTTTGAAACACCTGGGGAAATATAAATTCTAACTGGGTATTAAAAATTATCATTTTCTTAGGTAAGACAATGGTGTTATGATTACATCCAATAGGAGTTCCTCATCTTTTAAGATATATCCTAAAGTATAAATAGATAAATTGTATGATATCTGAGGTTTGCTTTAAAATATTCCAGTGGAGAAAAAAAAGAGAATGACATAAAGCAAGGCTGAAAATAGGTTGATAATGTTGAAGCTGGCTCCTGGGTTTGAAGAGGTTCATTATCATTATACTATTTTTTACATGTGTATCAATTTTTTTTTTTTAATGGACTCTTGCTCTGTCACCAGGCTGGAATGCAGTGGCGCCATCTCAGCTCACTGCAACCTCCATCTCCCGGGTTCAAGTGATTCTTCTGCCTCAGGCCCCCGAGTAGCTGGGACTACAGGTGTATGCCACCACACCCAGCTAATTTTTGTATTTTTTAGTAGATATGGGGTTTCAGTATGTTGGCCAGGATGGTCTCGATCTCTTGACCTCGTGACCCGCCCACCTTGGCCTCCCAAAGATGTATCAATTTTTTTACATGTGAAGTCTTAAAAAAATGAATTAATGGTGGGTACTGAGTCAACAGTCTTGCTCTGAGAGCCACTATTACCTAACACTTTTTTACTTTCAATTGACATATAATTGTACATATTTGTGGGGTACAATGTGATGTTCTAATACATGTATACGGTGCCTAATAATCAAAGGGTAACTGGCATATCCATTATCTCATTTGTCATTTCTTTGTGGTGGTAATATCTAAACCTCTCTTCTGGCCATTTTGAGATATACAATACCTTACTGTTAACTATAATCATCTTACTAGTAAAACATCAGAACTTATCCTTCCTTTCTAATTGTAACCATTGACCAATCAACCTCTCGCTATGCTCGCTTTCCCTCTATCCTCCATAGTCTCTGACAACCACTGTTTTGTGCATCAATTCTATGAAACCAACTCTTTTAGATTCCACATGTGTGTGATCAGGCAGTATTTGTCTTTCTGTGTCTGGCTTAATTAACATAATGTCCACGAGGGTCATCCATATTGTCACAAATGACAGGATATCATTCTTTTTTATGACTAAATAATATTTCATTGTTTATATATACATTTTCTTTATCCATTCAACCTTTATGGACACTTAAATTGATGCCATATCTTAGCAATTGTATTTAATGCTGCAATGAACATGGGAGTGTAAATGTCTCTTCAGGATACTTGACTTCATTTCCTTTCCCACTATAGCCAGTAGAAGGATTGTTGGAACATATGGTAGTTCTATTCTTATTTTTTTGAGGAACCTTGACACTGTTTTCCATAATAGCTGTGCTAATTTACATTACTACCAACAGTGTGTAAGGGTTATCTTTTCTCCACATCCTGGCCAACATTTGATATCTTTTGTCTTTTTGATAATAGCTATTCTAACTAAAGCAAGGTGATATCTTGTAATTTTGATTTGCATTTCCCTGAATTATTCTTATCTATCAATATGACATATCTTTCTATTTCTTTGTGTCCTCAATTTCTTTCATCAATTTTTTTTAATTGTACTTTAGGTTCTGGGGTACATGTGCAGACCATGCAGGATTGTTACATAGATACACATATGGCAATGTGGTTTGCTGCCTCCATGCCCCCATCACCTACATCTGGTATTTCTCCCCATGTTATCCCTCCCCAACCTCATCAACCCCCACTGTTCCTCCCTTCCCCCCGCAACAGACCCCAGTGTGTGATGCTCCACTCCCTGTGTCCATGTGTTCTCATTCTTCAATACCCGCCTATGAGTGAGAACATGCAGTCTTTGATTTTCTGTTCTTGCATCAGTTTGCTGAGAATGATGGTTTCCAGATTCATCCATTTCCCTACAAAGGACACGAACCCATCATCTTTATGGCTGCATAATATTCCATGGTATATATGTGCCACATTTTCCTTGTCCAGTCTATTGTCGATGGGCATTTGGGTTGGTTCCAGGTCTTTGCTATTGTAAACAGTGCTGCTATGAACATTCGTGTGTATGTGTCTTTAATAATAGAATGATTTATAATCCTTTGGATATATATACCCAGTAATGGGATTGCTGGGTCAAATGGAATTTCTATTTCTAGGTCCTTGAGGAAGCGAAATACTGTCTTCCACAATGGTTAAACTAGTTTACACTCTTACCAACAGGATAAAAGTGTTCCTATTTCTCCTCATCCTCTCCAGCATCTGTTGTCTCCAGATTTTTTAATGATCGCCATTCTAACTGGCTTGAGATGATATCTCAATGTAGTTTTGATTTGCATTTCTCTAGTGACCAGTGATAATGAACATTTTTTCATGTTTCTTGGCCTCATATATGTCTTCTTTTGAAGTGTCTGTTCATTTCCTTTGCCCACTTTTTGATGGGCTTGCTTGCTTTTCTCTTGAAAATCTGTTTTAGTCCTTTGTAGATTCTGGATATTAGTCCTTAAATGGGTAGATTGCAAAAATTTTTTCCCATTCTCTAATGATTGTTTCTTTTGCTGTACAGAAGCTGTGGAGTTTAATTAGGTCCCATTTGTCTATTTTGGCTTTTGTTGCCAATGCTTTTGGTGTTTCAGTCATGAAGTCCTTGCCTATGCCTATGTCCTGAATGGTTTTGCCTAGGTTTTCTTCTAGGGTTTTTATGGTATTAGGTCTTAGGTTTAAGTCTTTAATCCATCTGGAGTTAATTTTAGTGTAAGTTGTCAGGATGGCCAGTTTCTGCTTTCTGCACATGGCTAGCCAGTTTTCCCAACACCATTTATTAAACAGGGAATCCTTTTCCCATTGCTTGTTTTTGTCAGGTTTGTCAAAGATCAGATAGTTGTAGATGTGTGGCATTGCCTTCAAGGCCTCTGTTCTTTTCCATTGGTCTATATCTCTGTTTTGGTACCAGTACCATGCTGTTTTCAACAATGTTTTATAGTTTTCAGTGATCTTTCTCCTCTTTGGTTAAATTTATTTCTAGGTATATTTGTTTTTTATAGCTATTGTAAATGAGATTTTCTTGATTTCTTTTTCAGATTGTTCACTATTAGTATACAGAAATGTTTTGATTCTCACATGTTGATTTTGTATCCTAAATTTTTACCAAATTCGTTTGTTAGTTCTAGGAGTTTTTAAGTGGAGTTGGGGAATTTCTATATATGAGATCATTTGTCTACAAAAAAAGGGACAGTCTGACTCCCTTCTTTCCAATTTGGATGTCTTTTATTCCTTTCTCTTGCCTAACTGCTCTGGCTAGGACTTCTAGTACTATTTTTAACAGAAATAGTGAAAGCGTCTTGTCTTGTTTCAGATCTCAGAAGAAATACTTTTAAACCTCTTTCCATTTAGTATAATGGTAGCTGTGGGTCTGTCCCATATGGCCTTTATTGTGTTGAGGTATGTACCTCCTATACCTAGTTTTTTGAGAGTTTTTATCATAAAGTATGTTAAATTTTATCAAATGCTTTTTCTGCATCTATTGAAATGGTCATGTGGTTTTTGTCCCTTTTTCTATTGATATGATATATCCTATTTACTGATTTGTGTATTTTAAATAACTGCTCCATGATCTTTTTAATGGTACACTTCCTTGAGGACTGTGATCCCAGCACTTTGGGAGGCTGAGGCGGGCAGATCTTGAGGTCAGGAGATCAAGACCATCCTGGCTAACATGGTGAAATCCCATCTCTACCAAAAATATAAAAATTAGCTGCCGTGGCGATGGGCGCCTGTAGTCCCAGCTACTTGGAAGGCTGAGACAGGAGAATTGCTTGAACCCAGGAGGCAGAGGTTGTAGTGCACAGAGATTGTGCCATTACACTCCAGCCTGGGCAACAGAGTGAGACTCTGTCTCTAAGCAAACAAACAATGAAACACATGCAATTACTGGGTAAAACTGGGAACAATCCACACTTTCAAAGAATTCTTTAGTTAGACTACTATGTAAGTCAGATAACCACTCCTTATAACACTAGAATCCCAGAGATAGATGGAACGAAGTGATCAGATCATCCAGTACAATTTCCTAATTCACTGATGGGAAAGCAAAAGTCTAGAACAGCCTGATTTTCCCAAGATCAACATAGCTCTTCACAAAGTTATGATCTGAACCCAGACATCATTAGTATACTTCCATTGTATATACCATCTCAATTTATAGCAAATAGCACTGTAACGTTTCTAGCTGCTGTTCTCCCAAACTCTCTCCTCTGATGCTCAGTGGTCAACAATGCTTATACATTAACACAACTATTAGCTTAATCAAGCACAGCAGTGACCCTAATTAGGAAGCACAAAAGATACATGTGAACCCCTCAAAATGTTAGTAAAGGATGCCAATAAACTACCACACAGTCTAACTGCTAGTGGGTTTTTGTACTTAACTAAATCTGGGTAAGACACGTCACATGTCAGACCTAAGGAAGTCTCCAACGGGATAAAAAAGATCTAGAGGGTATGGAGGTCAAGTTTGAATATGTTTGTCGGCTATAGAGTATCACTTGTTTCAGACAGCCAAGGCTTATACTGGTCTGGTTCCAGGAAACACCAAACAACAACTCTCTATCTAGCTTCACAGTCTCTGGAGCCATTTTATGGTTAGAGGCATGGAAGGGTTCCATGGAAGAACCATGGAACTACAATCTAAGGGTGGTATTTTGAATATGGGCAAAGAGAACAGTGTTTTTAGATATCCTACAAAAAATATGTGTTACTGCAGGGAATCTTTGGAATTTCTTTGGAACACATTCCTTATCAGAGTAGTTGGGTATGATGATGATCTAAGCCTAGAATAATAATGTTCATAATCCAGTGTTCCTAAAGAAAGTGAATTGACCGAAAATATAAAAGGCAATACTATCATTCCAAACTAAAGCCCATGGTGCATGTCACATAATTCTTTTAGCGATGGATCCTGCTTTTGAAGCAGTATAACTCCATACAAATGATATATATATATTTTTTAGGGAAACAATGTATTTATTCCATGCATTCTGTTCTGGCAAGGTAGATCTACTGTTGAGATCCACAGCCTAGAGAATCTGACACAGGTAGATACAGAGAACAGTTATAATTTTTCGCTGTTTACATGCAAGCTGGCAAATGTACTACACTACAGAATTCCCATCGAAGTCACCAATTAACAAAATGAATTAATTACTCACTATATGTCACTCAAACAAAGATGAAGTAATCAGGAGAGAAGTCAGAGTTATCCAGTAAAAAAGTAATCGGAGGTGTGTTTACATTAATAAGGATATCTTTCAATAAGAAAAAGTAGATTAGCAAAGCTAAATTCTGCATTTCTTTTTTTATTTTTATTTTTTTATTGTATTTGTGCCCTGGGGAATATGTGCACATCCTGCATCCTGCAGGATTGTTGCACAGGTAAATACATGCCATGGTGGTTTGCTGTCTCCATCCCCCACCCCCTGTTGCCTACATCAGGCATTTCTCCCAGTGTTCTCCCTCCCTCCCCCTCTTTATCACCTGCTCCATGCTGTCCCCCACTCCTCTCCCTTCCACCCCCTCACCCAGCCCTGTGAGTGTTGTTCCCTTCCCTGTACCCAAGTGTTCTCATTGTTCATCATCCACCTATGAGTGAAAACATCTGGTGTTTGGTTTTCTGTTCTTGTGTCAGTTTGTGGAGAATGATGGTTTCTAGGTTCATCCATGTCTCTGCAAAGGACAGGAACTCAATGTTTTTTATGGCTGCATAGTATTCCATGGTGTATAATTTTTAAGTTCTTTGTTATACTCAACTATGAAGAGAAATAACATTTTCAGATTTCTATTATAAGCAGGAGTGGTGATATCAAAGTCATCTGTCCCTAAATATCTTACACTTTTCCTCTTTTCCTACCCCCAGATTCCTAAGGATAATAAAAATTATCATCTAATGACACCCTTGTAAAATGTCTTTTGGAAAGCTGTGTGAATTTACTGGGTTAGGGTACTATGTTTCCCAGAAATACAGCACAGGGATTAGTTTATCTGATCAAGATCCCCTGGCCCCTAACAACAAGGAGAGAAGGGGCAAAAGTGGAAGCTGTCCTTCCTGTTGAAGGTAGAATAGAATATAAAATTTCACAAAAAGAAAGTCTAAAGTAGAAATGCAGAGGTGAGGTGTATTACACTGAGATTTCAGTCATCTAGTGCAGTGGTCCCTAACCTTTTTGGCCCCAGGGACTGTCTTCCTGGAAGACAATTTTTTCACGAACCTGGAAGCAGAGATGGTTTCAGAAGAATTAAAGCCCATTACATTTATTGTGCACTTTATTTCTATTATTATTACACTGTAACATATAATAAAACAATTATACAACTCACTATAACATAGAATTAGTGGTAGCCCCAAGCTTGTTTTTCTGCAACTAGATGGTCCCATCTGAAGGTGATGGGAGACATGAGAACATCAGGCATTAGATTCTCACAAGGGGCGCAAAATCTAGATCCTTCACATGCACAGTTCACAATATGGCTTGCACTCCTGTGAGAATCTAGTGCCACAGCTGATCTGACAGGAGGTGAAGCTCAGGTGGTAATATGAAAAATGGGGAGCAGCTGTACATAGATAAAGTTTCACTTGCTCACCCAACACTCACTTCCTGCTGTGTACTCCTCCATGGCCCAGGGGTTGGGGACCTCTGATCTAGTTGGTAACATGAGGGCACTGGGAATTCTGAGTATTCATCATTTAGCTCCCACAAAGTAGGTGAAATAGAATGAATGAGAAAATATTACTCTATGTATATAAAATGCTTCACTAAAATCCAGTGATACAATCTATTGTATAGGCCTCAGCCATCTAATTATATCAACTGGTGATGAGAAGGTATGGTCATAATTACAACTGATACTCACAATATGTGACTATTCCATTTTGAACACACATTAAACATACTGTATATTCAGTATTTCACAGCCCTTACCATTTTGTCAAAATGAAAAGGGCAATTACTCAAAATGTTCTATTTCTTACCAGTATCTCAGGACTGGGTGGTGGAGGAGGAAGCTGAACTGGAGGCAAGGTACTCAAGGCAAATCCTTGCTTTACTTTGTTTATTTGTTCATTGTACTGTGTCTGGTAGGAGAAGAGTAAAAATACATTAGAGTGCAAACAACTTTAAAGAAACAGAATATGGGAATACTTGATGTAGTTTTGAATAATACAACATAGAAGATGGGTTCCCAACTTGTCAGAAATAATATAAAAACAGGTTCTGACTGAAAAGAAAAATTCTATAGACCATCCTACATGTAAACAGTTGTATTTTTAGGAGTGGTTATTGGTTAATAAGAAACAGAGACACAGATAATTCAGAGATCCTTGTGATAATTCCTTAGTGTTTCCATAATTTTCAGCTCTAAAATAGGAAACACTGATATAAAGTATAAAAAGAGATTAAAGATTCAAGGAGCTATAAATATTATACTGGCAAAAAAAACAGGAAAAAAATGTATTTGTAACAAAGAGTTAAACTACTTGCAAATGTTCGTTTTAAAAACTGAAGGAAACATTATAAAGATTACTTATTAAATTCTACATTGTGTTTATCTCAACATCTCTAACTCTAGCTTGCTCCAGGTCCATATATATTTTATTCTCTTGGATTTTGCCAAAAATGAGAGCCCAACCTGAAAGTTTAATAACACGCTTTCAACATTTTTTGGCATTGTCCCCACTTTTGCTTACCATATTATTTTGTAAAGAGCTGGAAAAGAAAGTCTTATAAAACAAAATGTTTAGAAACTTCTGCACAGAGGACATGTGCTCTGAAGGGCAGGTTTTGTGAGGCCAAAAGTTTGAATAATCCAACAGAAATGCTAAGCATCACTAAAGATTGAGTAAGAAAGAGTTTAGAAACAGTGAAAACCCCCAAAGGAGCAGGACAAATATACAGTACTTGGCATTTCACAATTTAATGACAATGCTTGTTTTTTCTGATAGTGTTGTGAAATCACAAAACAATCAACATTATATATCAACCTTTGTGTGTGTGTGTGTGTGTATGTGTGTGTATGTGCGTGTATGTGTGTGTGTATGTGTGTTCTAAAACAAAATTAATTAATAAACACTCAGTGGATTATCTTTTGTAGCATCGTCCCATCAGTACTTAGGAATTTACTCTTTTGCATTATAGAATAATAACATGAAAAGTTAGAATGAAAACTAATACAGACCTACTTGATTTTCCTTTTAATTCTGTAAACACATTATTACTCAGAATACAAGAAAACATTTAGTTTTTATTCCAATTTCTGTTTTAGAGACAGTCTCACTCTGCTATAGTACAGTGAGATGATCAGAGCTCACCACAACCTGAGCACCTGGCTCAAGTGATCCTCTCACCTCAGCTCCCAAAATTCTGGGATTATATGCATGAGCCACTGTGCCCACCCAAAACATTTAGGTTTGTTTGGGGCATTGTTAGGTTTGAAATTCAAGGAAAGCTAGGTGTGAGGGCACAATTTTTTAGTTTATTATTTTCTTGACTAAGGATATACAAGACTACATGTGTGAGTCAAGGATGTTACCTACAGCCAACCACATGGAAGTACTACCAAACTGAAGGCATAAACTTATAACTAAAATGGAAAAATATATTCTTCCTTAAATGTTTCTACTAATATGTCTTCTAGCTTTACACCACCTCTAACATTAAGCCAATTTACTCTAAACATATTTCAGGACTTACCCTGAGGAATGCAATCTTGTTTCTAACATCTGCCACTATGGCATTCCAACTGTCTACTGCAGCTTTTAACTGAAGTGATTCTAGGTTGCTGTTGTAGAAAATGAGACACAGAAGAAAGCTTTCTTTTTATAACACTTAAGTTTTCCAAACATTTCTATCATGCTTTCTAGCATATATGTTAACAAAAAAACAAAATTAACCCCATCACAACAACAATTACCACAAATGCACATAAAGATGTATGGACAGGTTTGTTACTAAAAATAAATACAAAAACCAGTAATAAATTAATTTTTTAAGAGCAAATATAATTTATGCTTCCAGAACAGGTTTTCTTCTATCTTGATGATATATTTTTAGTACATATTATAAAACCTTCGTAAGAAATCTTTCCAATGAACCGGGAAAACCTTAGTCATCTAATATAGCAGTGTTCTCAAAAATGTTAACTCATGTTAGAAGCAAGTTTTGGACTATCTTCATATTAACTATGAAATCCAAAAGCAATGGTTGGCCTACATGGCTCCTTTCAAATTAGAAAAAGATACTGTGTATGGAAGGAGAAATTAGAAATACCTTCTCTATCAGAATGAATGAGGTTGCTGCCTTTATACAGTAGATAAATTGTATAAACAATAGTTTTATCAACTTATGCCTATCAAATGACTTAACAAAAGTAGAACAACTTTGAAGTTTTTAGGGTCTATGATCTCTAGAAAACAAATTTCATATGGCCTTTTAAAAGGTTCTATCCATTATAACATCCCACGCCAGTATCACCCAGCGCAACAATTTTATAAGAGCTGAACAAGTTATCACTAAGATCATCTCATATAAAGAAGCTTCATAATATCCTAGTGTATAGAGCACCCTTTCTCCTTCTAGCAAGCAAAGATAGACTGACCGTTTACAACAGTACTTCCCTGACTTGAATGCACATCAGCATATCCTGATAATCTTGCTCATCAGACTCTGATTCTTTAGAATTAAAGAACAATGCTGATTAATAAAATGATAATCATTTAAAAATAATGATGCCTGGGTCCCAGAGATTCTAATTTAATTAATTCTTTAAGTTTGAAGGTATATCCCATTAGATTATAAATTTAAGGAGAATTTCAGGCAACCTGTTCGATATTTGAAAATAAGCATAGCAGCAAACTACCTTTAACATATGATTTAGGTGTTAATATTGATATTTCCCTCAACATATTCCCTAGGTATTTAAAATCAGGCATTACAAAGGAAAACCATTAGAAAAAACGTCTTCCAATTAGAATCCACCTTGTTTCATTAGTATCTGGTGTTCATGTATGTCTCTGATTGAGAGACTTTGGATCTACTTCACTACGGAGGAAGGGAAAAATCTTTCGGCAGCTATTATTGTACATAGTACTCAGTAGACTTCTCAGTGCTTCAGCAGAAGCAGTCAAGTACAAGCATCAAAGTAACTAAATGACTTTCAAGGTTTGAAAATGAAAACAACAGGCCGGGCGCGGTGGCTCAAGCCTGTAATCCCAGCACTTTGGGAGGCCGAGGCGGGTGGATCACGAGGTCAAGAGGAGATCGAGACCATCCTGGTCAACATGGTGAAACCCCGTCTCTACTAAAAATACAAAAAATTAGCTGGGCACGGTGGCGCATGCCTGTAATCCCAGCTACTCAGGAGGCTGAGGCAGGAGAATTGCCTGAACCCAGGAGGCGGAGGTTGCGGTGAGCCGCGATCGCGCCATTGCACTCCAGCCTGGGTAACAAGAGGGAAACTCGATCTCAAAAAAAAAAAAAAAACAAAACAAAAAACCAAAGAAAACAACAAGAGCTTCTAGTAAACGGTATTTCACAGGAAAAAAAAAATGAAAAAAACCCACAAAACCCATAAGAGCTTCTTTAAGAACTCTGATGTCACATATGTAAAACACATCACAGATTACATTCAACTGTGGAGACAATTTCTAACATCTCTAAGATTAAGATGCATTAAGGAAGAGGGAAACGTTACCTTGCTGCCATGTGAGTCACCCTGGCAAGTTGATTGAGACATTCCTTTTCAGTCTGCTCTAGATGAAGCAAACCAAAATCCCTACGACACTGTAAGAAATACACCTGCAGGTTTTTGAGAGAAAGAGAAAGAAGTTGAAGGTGTGCTTGTAAAAGAACATTCTCTCCTCAATCATCTCAAGTAAATTTAAAGCTATTTCTCACTTTCTTCCAATAGCATCTGGGTTCCTTGACCATTCAAGACACATTATAAAAGCTTTTAAATCAATGCCACTTCTGCAATTCTAATTTCCTTATTTAATGGTTAATAGGTTGGCAAACATTCTAGAATATGTCTTTTCAAATTTGTACTCATCTCAGAATTCTTTCAAAGAAAGAATTTGGAAGCATCTCAGAAACTTTCAAAAATAGTGCCTTGGTCCCAGATATTCTAATTTGATTGATACTAGGTATAGCTTGGGCACTGGCATTTTTTAAAACTCTCTGGTAATTCTAACATGCATTAAAGGTTGAGAACACTCCTGCTATCTATTTTTTCTCACTGATGAAGAGGTAAGAAAATAATCAGACCATACAGAAAGATATGGGTTTGGAGATTACATGGTCCAGTGTCTCTCCCGTAGCAGGAAACCTCTGAGTATCACTACTTGCAGAGTCATTTAGCCTCTGTTTTTCACTACTAATCACTCAGTATTCACTAAAATACACTGTTGGACAGCATTAAGTAGTAGAAAGTTCTTCCTTTTTAAAATTAATAATACAAGCACAAAGAAATTTACTGATTAAAAACAATAAAAAAAAAACACTGTATCCACTTGAGCTTTTAAAGTAATCTGAAATTTTTCTTTTGTTAAAGCTAGTATCCCAACAATATTCTTCATGAATTTTTGGTTCATATACTACTTCTTGGTTGCTGACTTTCAGGATCCCAAGTTCTCTGCTGGAGAACAGAATTTACCCATGACAGAGGTAGAAGGTTGTAATATTTTCAATGTCAGTGAGCTCTCTAAAAATGTGAGTCTTATTGTATATCAAGTTTGGTTATGGACAAATGAAAATTACATATACACATACAATGATATTTATTTGGAGAGACCCTAGCTGTAATGTTCTAAGCTAACTTAGAAAAATTTGGGTAATTTTATGGCAGTCTGAAAAGCAAGTTGGTTTTGTACATTCAGGTGTATGATGTGTCTGCATTTTTGTAAGATCTATACAGGAAGTGGCTAACAAATAAGATACTGTGGCAGCAGTAAAATGTTATTATTAGAAGTTTGGCGTAGTGACTTGGCTTCATGAGAATTTCCCAAGATGGCTGTATTTGCTATACATACTGCAACAGACTGATTTCTTCAAGTCATTGGGGGAGAACAACATAAGATAATCAAAACTGAAGTGTTCATACATGATAGGCCAATGAGTCAAAAAACCACAAGACTTTGAGCTGTATTTTCCTGGCTGGTCCTAAGATGTCTTATTTCTGTTTATACAAAAAATAGTCTTTTAAAAATTCTTTAGTATATGGTATACAAGTAAAACTTTCCCCTAACACCCCATACCCCTGCCCTCGTCTTTTTGTTTTGTTTTGTTTTTACCTCGGCTGTTAAAGCTCTGCTAGTTTCTGTATTCAGTTTGCCCACATATGTTTTCATTGTGCTTTCCAGATTATGCTTTTCCATTTCCCACTGAGATCTGAAATATATGATCATTAAAGACTCAGCAATATTACATCAAGCACAGCCTTTTTCATCTTACTCAGGAGAAAAAAGTTATATAATCAGTAGGAAGTTATTTCTTGGAAAAGTGTATAGCACATAGAAACGAGAAGTTATTGTTCAATCCCTGCTGTTATCCTTTACTATCAATAATATAGAAGTTTTAAAGCTATCAGAGTATAGGTTATGATTCAAAACTTGGCTCTGAAATCAAGTTGTCTGAGGATGAATCTCAGCTCCACAACTTATTAAATGTTAAAACCCCTCAGCAAATACAATGAACTAAATGTTTGTGTCCCCCCCAGAATTTGTATTTTGAAATCTTAACCCCCACAGTGACGGTATTAGGAGGTGGTGCCTTTGGTAGATGATCAGCCATGAGGTCAGAACTCTAATGAATAGAATTAATGCCCTTTTAAAAGAGGCCTGAGAGAGCTCCCTTGGCTGCCTTCTGCTATGTGAAGTTACAGCGGAAGACTGTCTATGAGGAAATAGATCCTCACCAGATACCAAATAAGCTGCCACTTTGATCTTGGACTTCCCAGCTTTCAGAACTGTGAGAGATATAATTCTATTTTTATAAGTCACCCACTCAATGGTATTTTGATATACCAGTTCAACCCAAGACAGCAAGCTACTTAATTTCTCTATACCTCAGTTTAGAGGAAACAATAGTACTACTTACCTTAAAGAGCTATTGTGAAAATTAATTCAGATAATACAAGGCAAGTAGTGTCTGGCACATAATAAGCACTAAATAAAAGTTACCTAGTATCATGATTAATATGTTCCACATGAAATTTCTATAAGCTTTTTTGTATCCCAACAATAGAAACCACATACGTTTTTTATTATTCCTGTCATTAAGTGAAGTCACTGCATTAAAATATTTGATTGGTTATTTCGGTGTTCACAGTCAATGTTTTTGAAAGAAAGTACACCCTATAGTTTGAAAGGGAAGGAGGGAGATGATGGTAAAGACACTGTTTACCATTATCCCAAGGACATTAGGGAAGTGATTACCTTTAAGGTTTCTTTTTTTTAATTCTCCTCTCAATTTCCTACACTTGACTCCAAGAATTCTATATATAAATCAAATTCTAAATTTAATAAAAACAATTAATTGAAAATATAGCGTTATAATAGAGACAGTCACAAAGGCCATCCTCAATGTTTTATTATTAGAAACACTTGGATACTTGAGGACCTAACAAACATTGATGAGAAACTTGATAACAATATCATCATTACAATAAATATCAGTAAAGCTAGACTTTCTTGAGGAGAAAAAAATAAAACTCTCCAAGAAGATATATTAACAAAAGAGGAATTAATAATTATTTTTTAATGCTATTGCTGAAGTCCCAATATTCTCTCTTCTCTCTCCCTTCCATAATTTGTACACCTTCCTAAGAGTGTCTGCTCTTAAGATGACTGCTAGCAGCTTCTTAGAACTATATTTATTTATTTTTTAATAGTCCTCACAATGTGCCAGGTGCTATTTTCAGTGATTAATAGAGATTTTTTTCTTTTTTATTATACTTTAAGTTCTGTCGTACATGTGCAGATCATGCAGGATTGTTACATAGGTTTAATTATTATATCATTAAAAATTATGTGAAATTTGCCTATATGAAAAAATAAAAAATTGGACTTCATCAAATTGTTTTGTTTTTTAAATGACATCAAGAAAATGAAAAAGCAATCTACAAGATGAGAGAAATACTTGGAATTCATGTATCTGATAAGGGACTTGTATCTGATCAGGGACAAGAACAATCTAATTTTTTAAATGGGCAAAGGATTTGAATAGACATTTCTCTAAAAAGATACATAATTGGCCAATAAGCACATGAAAAGATGCTCAACATAATTAATCAGTGGGAAAATGCAAATCAAAGCCATAGTGATATACTGCTTCACACATAATATAATGGGTAAAATAAAGATGCAATTTAATAAGTGTACCAAATGTTGACCAGAATGTGGAGAAACTGAAACTCTCATACACTGCTAGTGGGATTATAAAATGGCACAGCTACTTGAAAAACAGTTTGGCAATTCCTCAAAAAGTTACACCTAAAGTTTACTGATCACCCAGCAATTCTACTCCTTGCTACAAACCAAGAAATACAAAAACATGTTCACAAATCTGTATATAAATAACAATAACAGTATTCATAATAACCAAAAAAATGGAAACAAGCCAATGTCCATCAACTGATGAAAAATAAAATAAGGTATATCCAAGGAATAAAATATTATTTATCCATAAAAAGGAATGAGTAATGATACATGCTACAACATGGATGAATTTTGAATGTTATAAGAGGCTACACATTATATAATTGCATTTATATAAAATGTCCAGGATAGGCAAATCCATAGAAGTAGATTAGTAGTTGCCAGAATTGGGAGGAGGGGAGAACAGAAAATGACATCTAATGACTTCCTTTTTTGAGGTGATAAAAATGTTCTGGAAATAGATTGTGATGGCTGTAAACCTCTGTGAATACACTCAAAACAAATCAATACATGATGTATTTTAACAGAGAGAACTTTATGCTATATGAAATAGATTTCAAAAAGGTGTTAGTAAAAAAATTACCCACAGGCAAAAGAGATGAATAAGAATAAAACTTGGCCAGTTTCATAAAGCAGTCACACCTAGTAGTACTGAGTTGCGTAACTCTTAAGCTCTAGTCTCTGACTATAACGTTGCTGATACAGATTCTTCTGGCAGTTTTCTAGAGTCAGAGCTAAAGTGACCATACCTTCCTATTTGCCTAAGATACTCCCAGTTTACGCCTTTTGTCTCAATGTATTAGTAATACTGTTCAATAGCAGCCTCAAAAGTACCCCAGTTGGAATGATAAATTATATTCGTATGCCAGCCAGAAAGTGTTGGGTGAAGTACACAGAGAGAGTGCACCCAAAGAGAAAGCTAAGTGTGTTACCTCTTCATGGAAAGTTGCTCTTTAAGGTTCTTGATTTCATTATCTTTAGCATGGATCTGACGCTGTAATCTAAGCAAGCAAACAAGTAAGTCAGAAACGGTTAGAAAATATTTCTCCTTAACACAGTCAGAACAGCTCTACCCACAGCACTGCAGGAGACCAAGTTATGTCCATTTGGGGCCACAAATCTTGAGCCTGAATACAACTGAATTCCTATACCTGATCCTTTTGAAATGTATCTTATTTCTGATGTCTGATTTACTTACTTCCTAAAGAAAGGGAAACTAAGTTCTAATTCAGTAAATTCGACAGCAAATCTTTATTTTCTGAGACAGAGTATCGCTCTTGTTACCCAGGCTGGAGTGCAATGGCGCGATCGCGGCTCACCGCAACCTCCGCCTCCTGGGTTCAGGCAATTCTTCTGCCTCAGCCTCCCGAGTAGCTGGGATTACAGGCACGCGCCACCATGCCCAGCTAATTTTTTGTATTTTCAGTAGAGACGGGGTTTCACCATGTTGACCAGGATGGTCTCGATCTCTTGACCTGGTGATCCACCCGCCTCGGCCTCCCAAAGTGCTGGGATTACAGGCGTGAGCCATCGCGCCCAGCCTAGACAGCAAATCTTGTATCCTCGGCTCAATGACATGGAAAAATGTCTTTAGCGCTTCGTGCTTCAGCTTACTTACTAGAAAACAGAGATGGTATCTTCTGATTTTCTAAGCCTGTTGTGAGATTGAGAACTTTAGTTCCTTAAAGTGGTATTATATCAAGTCATGCAAATTAGAAAGCCTGATCTAAAGGAAATCAGACCTTAAATACTGAAGTGACGAGGGTGTGTGCAAATACTAATTTTAATTAAAACTATGACTTTGCACCTGGAGGTCACTCATATGATCTTATCATGGAAAGAATGGGTAAAAATTTTGTATAAATCAGAATCTACATAGCCTATTATCAGCTTCAAAATTAGTATGTAAGAAACTAAGAGAAATATATGTTTTTGCTTGACATATATTCACATGGCATTTTTGATGTTCCTCCCTTATGCCACTGTATTTCTTTTCACAACCAAACTTTTACATAAACCTAGTAATTAACTTAAATATAAAGAGATTCATAATAAAAGCACATTGCCCTTTAAGTCTCTAATATGTTTAAACTCTTGGAATACATAGAAGAGTTTGGTTAATGTAAAGTATTGGAATAATAAGTCCTTGAAATGACAACTTTAACGGATGGATTACTCACTACTAGATATCAGACACTACCCATTCACCTTTACTGTAAACTTCTCAGAAGACTTAGAGACTTACAGTTAATGTTCTGTTGGTCTGAGAATGCAGTGAAAAGAAACCAGGTCTCTTTCTGTACAAAGAGGTCATGTTCTCAAGTGAAATATTAAGAAATATAAGTTTCATTACTGTAATACATAGGAATATGTTGACAGAGTTGAAAAAGCAGTAATTTCTAAGACTGACATCTTGTTTTCCTTTGTATACTTCCATTACTTCAATATTCTACCTAGCTCTAGTTTAGAGTGGGCAATAAGAGTAGACATAACTAGTGGGAATTCAGAGATTCATAAATAATAGAGGACAAGGTAGGCAGAGTTCTTATTATCCAGCTCAGATAAGAGCCAGCTACATATGTTCAGGCAGTCTTAACTACTCAGTCATCTTTTTCTCGTGTTTAATATGACAGGATGAAATTATTATATTTTCTTTTCTAAAAAACCTAAAGTTCTCAAGTTAACTCTGGCTATCGAGTTTTATTACAGACTTTATTGAGAGCAGTTTCTTGACATTTATTAAGTGCTTACTGTAGTCTATGCAAAGTAAGTCACTTGCATAAAATTTTCTTTTTAACACTTCAGTTATCATCAACAAATATTTGCCAAACATTTACTGCACACGTCAAATTGAATTAGGCAAAAAAAAAAAAAAAAAAAAAAAAAAAAAGCCACGATTTTTTGCTTTCTAATCTAGGATGAAAGAAGCATTTACAATTAAAGAATATTTATATTTTATCACATACTCTTTGGCAATGTTCAGATGAATTAAACAAAGAAAACATTCAAAAGCTTATATGAGAACACAGGTCATTATGTCCATTCTGCCTTGATGCCCTGTCTCTTCTTCCATCTCATCCCACCTAACCTTCAATGCCGAGCTTCAGTATTATGTCTTTAATAAAGTTCTTCATTGAAGGAAGTTCCTTATCACAACAATCAAAAGTATTCTATCTACCCTAGGAAATTTCCATTAAGTATATGCTTGCCAGTTTTTTATTACATACTTTTTAAAATAGTCAAACTTTTTATTTTGAGAGAACTGTAAATTCACATGCAGGTATAAGACATAATACACAAAGATCCCACGTATCCTTTTCCCAGTTTCTCCCAATGGTAACATCTTGCAAAATTATAGTATAATACCATAACCAGAATATTGATGGTGATACAGTCAAGATACTGAACAGTTCTATCATCACAGGGATCCTTCATTTTGTCCTTTTAAAGCCACACCCACTTCCCTTCCACTCCCATTCTCTTCTTATAACATTGGAACCACTAATCTGTTTTCCATTTTTATAATTTTGTCATTTCAAGAATGTTCAGGAAATGGACACATATAGTATATAGGCTTTTGGAGCTTTTTGTCACTCAGCATAATTCTCTGATGTCTGCAGTGTTTGTAGTATTTGCAGTGATATCACTGTTTCATTCTGGACGGTAGTAATTTATGTCTTTTATGTTGTCAGTCTTGCTAGAGGTCTATCAATTTTATTGATCTTTTCAAAGACACAGCCTTTTGTTACACGGATTTTCTCTACTATTTTTCTTTTTCCAACTCATTCTTTCTTAGTTTCTTGTTTTTGAGATGGGGCCTCACTATGTTGCCCATACTGAACTATAACTTCTGGGTTCAAGCAGTCCTCCCCTCTCAGCCACTCAAGTAGCTGGGACTACATATGTACACCACTGCATCCTGCCTCCATTACTTCTAATCTTTATAATTTCTTTCCTCCTGCTTGCTTTAAGTCTATTTTGGTTTTCTTTTTCTGGGATCTTGAAGTAACAACTTAGATTATCCACTGAAGACTCTTCTCTTTTTCTAATGTGTCTGTTTAGTGTTATAATCTTCTCAGCACTGCCTCAGATGTGTGGCACAAATTTTGACATATTGTATTTTCATGAAAATTCAATGTATTTTGTTTCTCTTGAGATCTCTTCTTTGACCCATGGATCATTTAGACATGGGTTGCGTAGTTTCCAAGCCTTTGGAGGTTTCTTGTTATCTCCATTACTGATGTCTAATTTGACTCCATCATGACCTGAGAACATGTTTTGTATGATTTTAACTCTTAAATTTGTTGTTGAGGTTTTATGGCCCAGGATATTGTCTTTCTTGGTAGATACATCCTGTGGGCACTTGAAAGCCTGTGTATTCTACTGTGGTCTGGTGGGGCATTCTATAAATATCAATTAAGTCCTGTTGGTTGATGGTGGTTATTGAGGTCTTCTATATCCTTGCTGATTTTCTGTTTAGTAATATAATAAATTGAGAATGGGGTTTGAAGTATTCAATTATAATGGTAAACTTCTCTGTTTCTCCTTTCAGTTCTATCAGGTTTTACTTTATGTGTTTTGAGGATGTTTTTGGTACATATACCTTAAGATTCCTGTGGATTGATCCTTTTATCATTATGTAATGTCCCTCTTTGTGTCCAGCAGTCTTCTTCCTCTGAAGTCCACTTAATCTAATTATAATATAACCACTCTTACTTTTTTTATATAAACCTCTGCATGGTATATCCTTAACTTTATTCTTATTTAGGTCCCTTTATCCTCCTCACTTTTTGAATATATTGCATTTCTTCTATGTACATTGAATTCCATGAGATGGTGTTAAAATTTTTGCTTCAACCATCATATATGACTTAAGAAATTAATAAACAATCTCTTATTATTTTTCATACTCTTTACTCATTCTAATGGTCTTCTTTCCTTTCTGAAGTTTCAAGCTTCTATTATATATCTATTTTTAATGTTAGAGACCTTTCTATAGCCATTCTTTAAAGGTAGGCTATATGAATTTACTAGCAATAAATTCTTATAATTTTCCCTTGTCTGAGACTGTCTTTATTTCCCTCTATTACTAAAGAATAATTTGCGCTAAATATGGGATTCATGGTTCTACTTTTTTCTTTCAGTAACTGAATAAACTACCATTTCATTCTGGTCTTCATGGTTTCAAATGAAAAATATCTGTTGTCATTCGAATTACTGTTTCATAAGTAATTTTTTTCTCTGCCCTTTTTCAAGACTTTTTTGTCTTTTATTTTCAGAAGTTATGATGTGTCTTAGCATGGATTTTTTGGAGTTTTTGCTATTTGGGGTTCACTTAGTTTGAGGTTCACTTAGTTTCTGAATTTGTAAATTTATACATTTCATCAAATTTGGGAAATTTTCAGTATTTCTTTGAATACTTTTTCAGTCTCTCTCTCATTCTGCTCTCCTTCTGAAATTCCAGTGACAAGTACTTTAGCTCTTTTGTTACTGTTCCACAGGTCCCTTACACTGTCTTTTTCATATTTTTCTCTCAGTTTATTTTCTCTTTGTTCTTCAGATTGAGTTCATTCTATTCAGCTGTCCTCATGTTCACTGATTGAATCCTTTGTCATCTCCACTCTATTAGTGAGTATATCCAGCAACTTTTAATTTTAATCACTGTATTTTCTAGTTATAGAATTCCCACTCTTTATTTACCTACTTATTATTTACCTGCTGAGATTTTCTAGGTTTTCATTTGTATCAAGATTATTCAGTTTTGTTGAAGCATTTTTGTGATGGTGGCTTTAAAATCCTTGTCAGATAATTCCAATATCTCAGTAATATTAATATTGTGATTTGCTGGTCTTTAATCTTTCTTGTCTGAATTTCTTGGTTCTTGGTATGGTCTATGTTTTCTACTCTACCATAGATATTTTGAATATTATGAGACTCTGGGTTCTAGTTAATCTTCCTATTTTTAACAGGCAGTCTCCTGTTGAGGTATAATGTAAAAGCCGAGGAAGGTGGGTATGCATGGCTTTGCACTGTGCTCTACGAAAAGCACCCCAGGAAAAGTGGGCACTGACTCGCACTGCCTCAATGCAGATGAGAGGTGTACAAGTTCAGCTCCCCTCCCAGTCCCACTGATACCTTCCCATGAAAGTGGAGCACCAAGTCACATTGCCTTCTTGCCGCCAAGTGGAATATAAGATCAGCTCTTTGCTGGACCCTGCTGACATTGGGAAAGAAGAAAGCAAAGGACTGACTCGCACTACTTTGTTGCTGCAGGGTAGAGGCAGAAGTTCAGCTCCCTTGTGTCCCTCTAGCACCAGCTGACGGAAGTGGGGAAAGGGAATGCCAGCTAGTCCCATGGGGGAAGACTTAATTCTCAGTAAGAGGGAGTGAGGATGAAGCCTAGTATTGACTAGTTTTGTCTCAGACTGGCTTGTTAAGTAATATTGGTGCTGGGTAGCGGTAAAGTTCAGCTTTCAGCTGACACATCCTGCAGAGGAATTAAAGTACTGTCTCCTTCTCCCCAGTGGAACATGGAAGTCAGCTGTCTGGTTAATACTGCCAACACTATCCTACCAGAAAAACAGGATTCCTGCTACCTACTTATGTTAGATGGGAGAATCGCTGTGTACCACCTACTTCCAAGGGGTGGCATGGGACCACTTGTGTGTGGCTGCAGTAGGGTGGGTATTGTCAAAAAGCCTTTCTATTATTATAATTTCCTTTTACTGATAATTTGGCTAGAAGAAACAGGCTTTTTTACAGTTTTTTTTTTCCCCCTCTGCTTTTTAGCAATTCCAGGTTAAAGGCTTCCGCAGTGCCCCGAGATATATGGGAGGCAATCAGAAAATTTTTGCCAGCTCATTCCTTAAGTCTCAATGTCTTTAGACAGCATTCTTTCTTTTTCTACCTTCTAGAGTGTTACTATGCTTTTCTGTTGTGTTATATCCAGGGTGTTTAAGTTTTTAAGAAGAAACAGCTGTGAGAAATGGGGCTATACATCTTAGTGGACCTGGAAGTCTCTATTTTATGTAGTTTTATCCTTACATGTTAATTACACTCTCCATTGGATCATAATGAATGTCTCACACATCTTGGTATCTTCTACATGTGCCTTCCATAAGTTTTCTAACATAGTAGGCCCTTGATAAATGTTTGGTGAATGCCCAACATTAAATGCTCATTTTGTGAAGGCATATGCATCCCCTAAAGTGGACTACTTAATAGCCTCAAGCATGTAAGGGTACATGGGCCACCTGTCAGGAGTTGAGGAGGAATATCTTCAGATGGAAGAAAGTCAGCTCATCCTCACTGATGGCATGGCTTTTCTAGTCTCTGATATTCTATGACATATTTCTAGATTAGTCATCCTCTTTAGGCTAAAAGATGAAGTTCTGAATGCTGAAGTACAGTTTCTTAAATGATTGCAGCCAGCTTCGTTTGTCTGAGCTTTCTTAAGTCCCACAGTCTTCTAAACTTGAATGATCTCTCTAACTCTAGTAAGGATAAGTCTGACAATGCTTATGAATGAAATCATGTTGTCAGAACTATGGCATCTAGTTCTTGCTAATAACCCCTTCATGTGGCAGATGCAATATGAGAGAAAACTTAGAGCTAAATCTCTGGCAATTTCATAAGACATTCCCAGCACTTGTCTATTCTCCCTGTCAGCATTCTAGGAACTGCAATGTATTTTAAACTAGACTTTTTGGATGGCTGGTGTCTTACGGTATTACTGTTTGTTAAAATAATTGGCTTGAAACTATGCTGCTATTTAAATCAATACAGGTTGGAAGCAGTGATTAGTACAGAAAGAACAAACAACGTTACTAATTTTTTCCTAATTCACTTAGAATTTTTGGTCAGGATACATAAAGCGTATCCTAAACTTTAGGTTTAGGAGAAAAGAGATTGGGGTAAGGTGGGGAAGAGTCAATCAAACAAACAAAAAAAGAGATTTGTTTTCAATCTCACAGGCATAGAACACAAATGCTCTGAGATACCAACATAAAAATGCACTCAACAGATTCCCTGGTGTCTTTGAGGAATGTATTCATATACTATAAAGAAACAGCCAATCATTGGCCACATTTTTACAAATTAAAGTCATGACCTGAAAGTTAATTATCTATTACATTCACACTTGTTCGCCAATACATGAAAAGCTTGATATATAGTGTGAGCAGCTGCTTATTTCTCAATCCAGTTGGCAAGACAAAAAATATGGTTGGTTTTTAAACAAGTGCAGCCTTGTGGTTGGAGTTCCTAATGCGTAGTCACAGTGCCACCTAGTGGTTATGCAGGGAGTAAGTATTAAAGATACTGTTTACTATGGGGCAAACCCAGAAGTTCCTTTTATCAAAAGATTTACACTTACTTGGAAACCTTATTGATTCCAAAAGCCACTTGTTGATTAAGAGATGAAATAATTTTGTCTTTCTTTTTAATCTGCATTTGGTTTTCTTGCCACCGAAAAGTCACTGTTCTCAACTGTCTTTTGAAATCCTGATCAATAAAAATATTATTTCAGATAATTCTGTTCAAATCACCAGAAAATTGAAACAAAAATGCAAACAAAGTTATTTTCAAACAGCAAACACCTGTAATTTTAATATTTGAAATACTTCTCACTTCCCTCAGATCTAATGGCAAAAATACTTACTTCACACTGATAGTGCAATTTATAAAGCTGCCTTTGCCGAGCAAGCCTTTCCTTCTCAGTTTCTCCATAGTCTGTGGTTACTTTGCCAGCTGAGCCCTATGAGCAGAGGAAATATGCATGTCTTACTTTCCTCTAGAAAAACACTAATATTTTAGTTATTTGAAAGGGATTTAAAGCTGCCATCTAACTCCTGTTCATGTTTTTTGTCTCAAGTAAAACACCCAACTTAGATAAACGCACCATTAGATAAACCCACCTCCCCTCAATTAGAGCATTTAATAGAGTACCAGTTACTTGCCTGTTGCTGCTACTGCTGGAGACCACCAACTGCATGCCTACCATTTCTTAAGCACTTTCTTTGTAAGAGTGATGCTCGTATTGTCATAAGAACCATATGATGTAGACAGTCATTATTTCCATTTTAGAGATGATCTCATAGTGAGTAACTTGCCCAAAATCACATAGACAGTCAGTGGAGGAGCCTGCATTCTAACTCAGGCAGTCTTCATTGCCCAAGCACTTATTACACTGCATCATCTGAGTTTAATGTTCAACTTATGCATTACATTGTAAACATTATAACAGAGACTCTGTCTTAGCACAGCTCTTGACAAAATGCAGGTGAATATATCATTTCAGTTAAAATGTATGTATTCTAATTAGGAGAAAAAAAGGTATGACAATTATATGAATGTTGTACTATTGGCCAAGGAATGATTTGTACTAACTGTACCCTTAGACAATGAGTATTCCTACATATTATATACCACTATATTTAAATAGCAGAGCAGGTTATCACTGAATTCACACTAGTAGGTAAAAAAAAATTGGTTTTAAAAAAAATTCATTTGCTGTTGAGCACTTAAATCACATTCACGTGCCTCTTCACATATAGGTACATCATTCCAAGCAGTGTCTACCAGGAATGGAGCCAGAAAAAAAAACATGGCTACACGTAGCCATTTTTGTAGCCATTTCATGGTAAAAATCATATTGAATTTTTAAAAATCAAAGCAGCTTTATATTACAAACCCGTTTTTCTCATGACCTGTAATCTAGTGGTATTATGCTAGTTTTTTTTTTTCTTTGTGGTATTCAAAAAACCTTTGCAAGAAAAGCATCTGTGATCAACTTTGCCCTACATTTAAAGCAAGGAAATGGTCTGAGGGCTAAGGTGAAGTTTCCTGAAGTTTCTAGCTCCTAGGGGTTCTGTATTTTTTAATCTATTTTCCTTCATATAGCCTTCCTTACCTCCTTTTCTGTATTTCTTTTTCTCCTCACAAACAGTACAAACCACTGAAATTTTCAAGGGGTTATGCTGTTCAGAGAGTCACAGGAAAAACCAGGTAACAACTGAATCTGAGAGAAGGCAGGTACCCTTTCCAATCAAGCTTACCTGCTCTATCATGTCCAGAATATGCAATTCATCCAGGCTATAAAACTTGTCTTCCGTTGCAGAATCCTCTTGAATATCACTTGCGTCATCTTTTAAAAAGCCACCGACTGACTGTGGATTTGCTTGTTCTTTCTTCAACTGCTCTTCGTTTTCTACCACATATGGGCTATAGCGGCAACATAATCAATGTGAGCCTTTACACTCGTACAGTGATTTTCATCTAAGCTATGGCTTCCCAAATTAGTATTGTACTGGTTTCACGAGATGCTCAGCATTAGAAGGGTTCATGGCCAAAGAACGTTTGGATAGTGCTCATACTGAGTCTTTCTTTTGAAGATTCTTAATGAACATTAGCATATTTAAAGTAGCACTCAGTCAAGGTACCTGTTTAATTCTGTTCATGCCACTGTTTTCAAAAATTGAGAGTTCACTTTACAAATTATAACTAGTAATTTCAGTTGCTTTGGAAAACAGTATTTCAGAAATATTGACAAGGATTTCCGCAACTGATATATTATTTTACCATTATAACATTCTTTGTTCTCCCATAATTTCCTTGACAAGTAGGTTGGTTTAAGCAACTTCAGTGATTAGGTCCAATGTACTTTTAAACAGAAGGTGGAAAATAGAACATAAAACAGACTGTAAAACGGAGGTTTCTTTTGTTACAGGACTTTTAAAAAAGAACTACATGGATTTCAGTAACTTAACTACTAACAGAGACCACCTTTAAATGATGAACATACTATATACAAATGATAGCAATTAACCAATTTCTATACTTTTTTCTAAAATTTAATTGCCTGATACTGTCCTTTCACTTGGCCTACTACTACTTACTAGCTATAAATTTCCTTCCTAATCTCTTTGAATGGCAACAAGAAACAGGAGTATTCTTATTTAGATTGTAATGTAAATGACTTGATTTAGCTAGTGAATAGAAAGTCCAGGATACATTATTACTTTTTAGAACACTGAGATCTAGAAAAAATGAAATCTAATGCTTGTGGAATAATTCATAAAATACTATATAAGCAGTAATTAGATATTACTGAGGTATTCTAGAGTGATCCAAACATTCTGAAAAGTTCAATGAAATCAATTGATTGTGTAGAACACTGATTCTCAGATTTAATTACTTTTCTAAATTATCTGAAGAGCTTTTAAAAATTAAATGTTTCTAAACATCCCTACAACTGTAAAAATACAGATGAATTTGTATTTTTGAAAAGTTCACCAAGATTATTCCTAAATTTTTTAAAGTATACTCAGGCATTGCCTAACAACAAGGACAGTTTCTGGAAAATGTGTCATTAAGCGTTTTTGTCATAACATAGTATCATAGAGCATTAATACACAAAGTAGATGGTATAGCCTACTACATACCTAGGCTATATGACATAACCTATTGCTCCCAGGCTATAAACCTGTCACAGCATTTTACTGTACTCAATATGATAGGCAATTGTGATAAGTATTTGTGAATTTAAACATATCTAAACATAGAAAAATTACAGTCAAAAGGTAATATAAAACATAAAAAAATTGTACACCTGTACAGTGCATGTACCATGAATGGAGCTTATAGGACTGGATGGTGCTCTGGGTGAGTCAGTGAATGAGTGGTGAGTACCATATACTACTATAGACTTTAAAATAAACATGGTAAACTTAGGTTATGTTAAATTTATTAAAAAATAAAGTAATATCACTACAATGTTATGACAGCTACACCACTACTAGGCAATTGGAATTTTTCGGCTTCATTTTAATTTTATGGGACCACCATCATACCTGAGGTCTGTCCTTGACCAACATGCTGTTATGCAGTACATAACAGCACTGAGATAATATAAAAAATGTTCATATTTCTAAGATGTAAACTGAAGAATGAAGGGGTCAAATTACAAGGATGTTTGGGATTGAACACCCTTCAGTAAAGAACAAAATGTCAAAGGAAGTATGAAACAAATGTGAAAAACAGAATAATTGTTGAATCACAGTTACAGGTATATATGCTACTGCATATATATTAGTCTCTTTACTTTTGTGTATATTTGCAAATTTCCATTTAAAGACAAAGCTTCTTCATCCAGATTTGGATCCACTGTGTAAGCAAAATGATTGATGACATTGTTTCACCTTTATCAAACTATATTTATGGCATTAGGCACACCCTAAAAATAAACAAACAAAAACTACCGCTCCAGTGACTCAACCTGTTGCCAAAGAAGGTGAAAACACATCTTAAATGATGAACTATTTTATATACCAAGTGGATCACATCAATTGAAAATATCAACTACAAGTGATAGCTTTAAAGTTAACAAAATATGTTCCTCTTGCTGCTGTTTTGAGGATACTTTATGTCCTCAGAGTTCTCTGAAGTAACTACCATTCAATTGATAAACATTTTGGTAGAAATGATGATCTCTTCATTAGGCTGTCTCCACCCCTTCCTTCATATTCTACATTGTCATTAATCATGCAAGCTACATGCAAAATACAGTGATTTTTTTTGCCATTAAAATGTTTCCATTAAAGGTTCAAAATTCACTGTGAATAACTGGATTAAAAAAAAAAAGGTTAAATCTTAAAAACAACAAAGCCAAACTTTTTGGTAAAAGGGGTGACTGAGACATAACGATGCATCCTTTAAAATTAGGTCTTAGTCTAGGTTTGGTCAGGACTACAACGTCTGGACTAAAATGCAGTCTAACTACCGTGTAGACTATATTTTAAAATGACTCAAGTAGCCTTACAGAAAAATGATAAGAGGTTCTATTCTTCCAAAGCAAATAATGTTAAATGACAATTTACCTTTCTGTTACTTTCTATATAAAAGCAGTAACTTATTAAGACAAGAAACTATTCTTCTCTTGGGAAGTTTTCTCAAGGAAAATGAGTCCTAATATGACACATCTTTCTTCTTTGGGGAAGTTTTCCTTGACAAAACTTATAATAAAATGTTTTTATTATTTTCAAGGAAAACTTCCCCAAAGAAGGCATGCTGTGTCATATTAGAAAAGTATGCCTTAAAAATACTAAGAAAAACTTAAAAATTAAATAAAGTAATACTTACACTTGCTCTTCTTTTGAGTCTGTATTCTGAAAAATAACATAAGAATTAGTAATCTATATCAACTACATCAAAACAACGTAATAGTAATATGATTGCCTTTAGGTCAGTGTTTCTCAAAAAATTTTTGATCATGACTAAAGTAAGAAATATATTTCATCATGTCCTATGTACTTACACATATATTTTTAATATTTTTACATAAGTATAAAACTGAAGATTTCCATGAAATAAAACTTACTCATATTGTAGTGATGAACTCTAGTATTCTTTTATTTCTATTTATTCTATTTCCTTTTCTCAAAATGGCAGCTGTGAGCTACTAAATTGGTCTTACAATCTATTACTGAGTCTTGAAACCTGACTTGAAAATCACTAATTCAGATGCTAGAGGTGAGTATTGTGGCTGTTTGTACTGATCAGTATGCCTTTGGACAGGATGTATATAATTCCAATTTATTCCTAAAACTAACTATAAGTGTTCCTGAAAACCTATGCATAAGGAGAAATCAGACTGATACATTAAGAATCTCACAGAAAAAGAAGTGTTAAGAACACAATTTGAAAAAAAATCTTAAAAGCCCAAAACTTTATGTTCGTTAAAAGAAAACTATAACGGCAACATACCAAATAAAGGTAATATCGATGACATTTAACACATATTAAACTAAGAGTATTACAGTATTAATTTCTACCATCCCTTGCACACAAGAAACTTCAGGGTCTCCTTCTCCACAGATACAATGCTGTATGTACAAATTTGTTTACTTTCTTGTCTGTATACTAAGATTTTTGTGTTTCGGTGTCTGACCCTATGCTTAATATACAGTGCCAATTTGATTCTATGATTTAGAATTACTGACTCCTGTCTTCGCTCTAGTGCACTTGAATACCTGAGTTGAAAAGACTTTAGGTTGTTTACAATAAACACATCTAGCATAATGGATTATTTCTCAAATTCCTTTTGGCTCTTCCCACGACAACTTTATGCCAATGAACATATGGCATATGCCACACGAAGCCATCCAATTTGATAGGCTAGATTTATTTCCTGTCATGTTTCCTTTTTCCCAAAGCTTCATCACAAAAGTGTTCTATTCTTTTGCCCAACTTAACCCTGAGTGGAGGATGGGAGGATCTCATTAGCCTCCAAAAGAGTTATTTATAACTGGATACATTAGAAGCCAAATACAAAATACTTAACTGAAGAAAGGGAACATAGAGAGTAGCTACAAAGTTCCCATACCTTCTAGTTAGAAGTTATCTGTATTGTCCCCTCTATTTGCTATACAAATTTTACTTTTCCTTCATACTCTTTCAGAGAGTCCCTGATAGGTCCTTTTAGGATGTCGGATAGACATGTTATATAATGAAATAAGTAACAGAGGACACAATTTCATGCATGGAGCCTTTGTCAGCACTGTATAACACAAGCAAATTTCTACATGCTGTAATTTTTCATGAGAAATTCTGATTAGAGAATTTGGTTTATGTTATTTTATTTTTTTGAAATGGAGCCTCCCTCTAGTTAACTTCACATTTTATAACTGGTTGCTTTGCGCTACAACTAGACAATTTTTTATGCCTATAATAACAGTAATTATTTAAATAAGACTATTCCACATGAAATAATAACATGCATAAATTTTAGCATTTTTATGTCCTAGGACATTTTTTGAGGTCCCACTTTAAAATTTAGGTAAAAGATACAAGATCTCTCTTCTAATGTCCAAATTTTATCTTGATAAAATTATCTTACTTTCAAAAAGTATTTCAACTTGACTTAATAATGTAAATTGAAGAAAACCTTAGGATATTAAAGAAACAAAAGTTCCTAGATATTTGTTGACATTTAATTAAAAAATTACTAGTCATGAATTTCTGAGTGGTATATTTACAATAATATTATTTCCAGTTGTGTTTGTTCCCTTTTTAATTTCAATTTGATGCAGAAATGGGATTTTCATTTAACTAAAATTTGAGAATTTGAGCATTACCATATTTTAATTTTATGGCAGTAAACACAAGACACATTATATGTCCTTGCAACTTAGTTTGGTAGTTTGATAGCTGTAAATTTACTTGGCCAGTTTTATGTAGTATTAGACCCTCTACTAAACAATACTTAGGCAAAAATTTAAAAATCATCAAAATAACAAACTAGTTTGTTTTATCAGATAAGAACTATCTAAAAGTAAGAAAAATATCTCCATACTCACATTTTTAAAATAAAATTTAATTTTCATAACTTTAAAAATAAGTTATAAGTGATTGTTAAATATAACAATGATAATGATATTTTACTTAACAGATTTGAGTATAAAGTATCTTTTTTAAAATCTTGACTTCATAAGTATTTTACAAAATCATCTTTATTGTCTTAGGTTTCATTAATGATTACAATTTGGTTACACTTTCAAAGGACTAACAACATGGGTCACAAGATTGTAGCTGGGCAAATATTCTCATTCAGTTTATAATACGCAGAATATATCAAGGTTTTAAATACATTTTTCAGGCTCGAAAATCATTTTTTCACCACAAAGTTACATAACATGGTGGTTAGCTACATGCTTGATTAAAAAAAGACACGTGGCTTTCCCTGATAGTTTTCCAAGCAATTAAGAGACTTGCAGCTAAAACTGTGCTAGATACTGACTTGTTCATTTTGCAACGGACAAAAATCAAAGCAGCAGCAATGCAAGAAGTTTATATTTGTACCTTTTTGTGCACATTATTGCATTCTGGCATTGTCTCAGACGTAAAGAAAAAAAATCAAGATTTCTCAAAGTTTTGAAAGCTGCTTCTAAACACATCAATAAAGATATGATAAAAATAAGCTGTTCTTAAAACAATGAGTATGCATTTAAAAAATAGTAGAAATTAATGAAATTTCCATGTGACTAATTCAGTCTTATTTGTATATGATGCAAATGTATAAATTACAATTTAGGGAAGTGAAGTATGAAATACCATTTCATATTTCAAAATCATTTCAAAATCATTCAGGGTATAACAAATGTAGGCTTCTCTCTAATGATTTATTAAGTAAGCTATTGAATCATTTGTGCTATATGTCTACTCGAACTAATTTAAGTTCTAATAATGTATTCCTGTATTTAACTCCAGGGTTCATTATCAGTATTATAATGCTAGTATAGGCTCTTACCTTTTTATTCTTAGTCTTTTTCTTTTTCCTTTGTTTACTCTTAACCTAGTAGGTAAAAAATTATTTATTAAATATATAATTCAAACTGCACAATGGGTTATTTTGCAAAATATATTTCCTCTAACCACTGAGATCTTTTGTTTTCTAATATTAAAGATATTTCTTTCTAGCTTCTATGGAAACAATTATTTTTGTTTTATCTTTATTTTAATCCTAGCCTTCTGTCCTTACATAATCACTGATGTATAAAGGAACAAAACATAATGTCAGTAAGGAGGTTACTGATAAGTTCGCAGATGCTCACTTACACACATGGATATGAGTAACAAAAGAGGAAGGCACTTTTTAAAAGCAACATATTCATGCCCATGAGATTAAAAAAAAAAGGTCTAAGAAGAATTTAGTGACTCTATTATAACTGTTACCACTTATTTGTAAAGAAATATGGAGATTCCATTTTGGATCATTTTCATTCTACCTCTGCAAATGGTGTTGAAATATCCCACTTTTCCTTTCTTTCCTTTCTATTTCACACTATGCTTTCTTCTACTTTCCAATACCTTCCTATATCCACTTCGATCGGGATTAAAACAAACATATTATAATCTAGCATCATGCCTGCCATGTAAGTGTTTAATAAATGATGGCAAAATAAATGGTTATGGCAGGAAAGATTATGGAAGGAAGTACTGAGGAGAGGACCACTCCAATTCAAGCTCTGTATAAACACTATGATAAATATAAACTAAAATTATCTGGGATGCCTTAAATATAGCACATGCAACAAATTAAAGGCCCAGAATAAGTTCTTCTGATTCAAATATTAATGAGAGCTTATACTTCCTGGAGATCTTTAAGAGATTCTGTTGAAGATTCACTGGGTATTGAGGCCCCATCTTTATTAATTTCTGCAAACTGTATTTCAGGGTTTGATTTCACATTTATATTGTATTCCATGATAGGTGGACTTAGTTCTTCTTCCTCGTTCTGTAACTCTTCTATTTCAGTACCTAAACATTAAAGACGAAATTCTCAAAATCTAGATTAAATAATTTCAGCTTCTTATCAATATTATAAATAATGTTTGCCCAAAAGAGCAACATTCTCAAAATAGAAATAAAAGATATCTTACTCTTTTCAATTACTCAATGAAAATGTGATGTTCATTTATCAATTACCAAATTACCAAACAGCCTGGAACCTAAATGCCATGTTACCTACTGGTATCTTAAGTAGACTCTAGATATGAGATTCTCTAGAACTTAAGTAGACTCTAAATACTAACTTTTTGCATGTTTTGACCTTGGTCCTATTGATACTGCAACTAGTATTATTTTAGGACATATATCTGAAATATAAAAAAGAAACTAGAAGATCTATTTTTTCTTTTTTCTTTGTTATTCATAAGAGGGATGTGAGCCCCCTATTATGTAACCTTTTCTTTGACACGTTGCTCCTGATATTGCCCCAGAGACTCAGTCTCAAAATTTGAAGACTTTGTCTGACTAGTCTCAGACAGTCTAACAACATTTTACCCCAAACAAATATGTGGTGTTTTTTCTTAAGTATAATTTTAATCGAAGGATATTAATTACACTTAAAAAAAAAAGCACAAAAATGGAATAAAAAAATTACAACTAATCACCTGGCAGAAAAGCATATAGCTATAAACAATAGACAGACTAAATAAAATTATACATGCTAAATGTCAAACAGATAGAAAAACAGGAAGGTATTTTTTCCTGCTGAAGTTTCTGTAAGTCAAATGGGAGAACATCCTTTTTGGTGAAACCCTGGAGCACATGCACTAAGGCCAGGGCAGAATAAAGCTCTTTCTCCATTCAGCAGACCAGTAGTGACTTGACCACATAATTTTCCAAATTCTTAACAGTTATAGTTTATCTGATCAAATAAAAATTCCATGGGTACCCATTGTTAAAAAGTCACTTACATATTTTATTTTTAAATATACTTACGCTGACTGCCCGTTATTGACTGTAGAGCAATTCCTGTAATACATAAAGAAAAATTTTAGATGTACAATTGCAAATGCAACAGATGAATGTCTGGCTAGGATTAAGAAAAGGCAGAATATCTTTATATTGCACCAATTTATTCTGTAAGCAGCTTGAAAGATAACCAGTTTTGCTCATCAATCCAGTTTAGACAAGGCACAGTCTTTAGATTATTATATAAATGTTATAAACCCATGATTAGAGAAAAAAGAGAGCAAACAAACAAAAATGTGGTATCACAGATAAAGCACTTTAAACCAAGCAACAAGTACTTATGTTTACAGTCCTAGGCCATGAAATAATGGTTAACTATACAGCAAACCTCCACTGAAAGTGGGGCCTTTTCAGCAACCTGATTTACCCGGGTCAGCACTTGTTCTCCTTGCGCATTCATATTTATTGAGCACCTACAATCTATATCAGGCTGTGTTAAGATCTAGACATTGAATGGTGAAGGAAAGAAAGACAATCTTCTTGGAGACTTAGTGGGATGATGGATGTTAATCAAATTACCAGATATCCAAATGAAAAGCAACTATAATAGCTAAGGAAAGAAATATAAGATGCTAAGAAAGCCTCTATTAAAGACCAATAAGCTCTTCAGACTACTTGAGTAAAAGCTGCTTAAAATGCTTTGAATTAAATGAGTACACAAAACTCTTTCTCAAATAATTACTCTATTCTCATGAAGTTTTGTTATTTAAAATCCTAATAGAGTAAATGTATTTTTTAAAACCCAAATTTGTAAGTCAAAGATTCTTGCCTGACTTTCTTATATATCAAACTGTGTCCTTTTCTTTCTTGCTTATATTATGCAAGAAAACAAAGGTATTACAAGCCTTAGTAAATACCAGGACTGAAATTGTACATAACAATTATCTCTGAAGAAAATCCGGACCAGATCACTAGAAACTTATAAAGCTGTATGTTTACACAGCATCGTCAGTTGTTCACTAGGCTGTAAATAACTTGGGACCAGGAAGTTACCCTGAATAGCACAGCAAGGGTTTCAGTGATGTTGACATGCCTTGAACTCTGCTTTCCAAGAGAACAGCTGAGAAGGGATCCTGAGATATGGGAGAGGAGGTCTGAAGTCTTTTCCATATCAACAGACAAATTGGGGAATGGCTATTGCTGAATACAGACACTTGCATGAATGTTATCTGATTTTTAAAATTACCTACAGCCGGGCCGGGCGCGGTGGCTCAAGCCTGTAATCCCAGCACTTTGTGAGGTCGAGGCGGGTGGATCACGAGGTCAACAGATCGAGACCATCCTGGTCAACATGGTGAAACCCCGTCTCTACTAAAATTACAAAAAATTAGCTGGGCACGGTGGCGCGTGCCTGTAATCCCAGCTACTCAGGAGGCTGAGACAGGAGAATTGCCTGAACCCAGGAGGCGGAGGTTGCGGTGAGCCGAGATTGCGCCATTGCACTCCATCCTGGGTAACAAGAGCGAAACTCCGTCTCAAAAAAAAAAACAAAACAAAAAATTACCTACAGCCAATGAACAGCTGCTAAACTTGTAAACTAAGCAAGGTTCTGCTAGAAAGGAGAAAAAACATATATCCACTGTGTCTAAAAGGACATGTTTGAAACCACATAGCACCTATATGTCATGGTTTTAGACTTTACTAATTTTGGAGAAGTAATAAAATGCCATTTAAAGTGATAAAACTCTACTTAAAAGTCTTCAACGATTTCTTTCTGAAAAATGCAAACTCCTCAATGTGACTAAAAAAATCCTCTTGGATGTGCTCTATTAACGCCAAACGTTTTTACTTTGCTGCAGTATATTTTGTTTCTATACCTTTATTTTTATTTCTCTCTGAAACACCCTTCTCCATCGTCTTCACTTGGCTACTTCTGCATGCCATTAATAATTCTTTAACTATTATATTCTCCAGAAAGCTTTTTTGGACTCCTTTAGCCTAGGATTTCCCATGGTATTCTGGAAACATCTCTAGCACTATAATTTCTATTACCTTCCTAATGGGTCCATTCTCCCAGAAATGTGAGCTCACTGACTCTCTTGCCCTTTACACTGTGCCTGGCACAGAGCAGACATTCAGTGGAAGTTTATTTGCTAAAGTAAATAATCATTTAGTACCTTGTTGATAGCAGGATAACATCCTCTGTATGATTTCTGGTACGGGTATGCCTAGGTAGATGGATAGCTGATGGTAATCAAGGGAGATATTCTCAATGGGATTCTCCTTCACTTTATCAATATCTTCTTGTTTCATCCCAAGGCGCAGAAGAATATCTGAAACTTCTTTCCAAATTGAATTGAATTGTGACTCAGTGAGACCATTCATCAAGATCTCACTAAGGAGGATATCCCTGTATTTGCACAGTCTCAGGATATCTGCAGATTTAGAGATGTCAGAAGATGGTGGTTCCATATTCCATCCGTTTTTGGGTGCAGGGAACACATTCAAATGTTGTATGAGAGCTAGTAGGAGGCATAAGTCAAACTGTTTGGATTGTGGTAACTCCTTGTTTGGAGGAAAAAGCAGATGCCATGATCCACCCAAAGGATGATTGGTCCAAAGATGGTTGTAGTAAGATTCCAGCACATTCTTGTGTATAAGAAGCTCTTTTCTCAAAAGAGGGGGTGGCATAGCCTCATCAAATATTTGCCGAACAACGTCAGTACCAGAAATAATAATTATATGAAGCAGATGATAGAAGTAATTATAATCAAGCTTGAAGATAGGCATTTCATCTGAAAATAAATTTTGGGAAGTCAAGACATTCCACATTAATGATCTTTTTCTTTTTTTTTTTTTTTTTTTTTTGAGACGGAGTTTCGCTCTCATTACCCAGGCTGGAGTGCAATGGTGCGATCTCGGCTCACCGCAACCTCCGCCCCCTGGGTTCAGGCAATTCTCCTGCCTCAGCCTCCAGAGTAGCTGGGATTACAAGCACGCGCCACCACGCCCAGCTAATTTTTTGTATTTTTAGTAGAGACGGGGTTTCACCATGTTGACCAGGATGGTCTCCATCTCTTGACCTCGTGATCCACCCGCCTCAGCCTCCCAAAGTGCTGGGATTACAGGCTTGAGCCACCGCGCCCGGCCCAATGCTCTTTTTCTATTTGGCCTCTCATATTTTATCCTTAGCTGCTGCAGGATAAAAACTGTTCCAAAAGAATAAAGCACAGTACACTGCTTTGCCACAACTGATGCTCAATAAGCAAGCTGCTTTCTCTCTGTCAAAAAATCTAAACAGAAACATGTTCCCAAGCAAAAGTAATCAAAGACTAATCACCACAGAAGTCTTTCAACCATCCAAGGTTTTGTTCACGTAAATGATCTTTGGCAACAAAATAGCATCAAAGTATTAGATCTTTAAAAATTCTAAAATTTACCAAGAATGCTAATTGTCAATGTTTAATTATGCTTTACTTAAATAATTATACTTTATCCTAATCCACACTGTCCAACAGAATGTGGTGTGATAAAATGTTTTATATTTGCACTAATACTCGTTGAATACTGGAAATGCTGCTTGGGTGACTAAGAAATTGAATTTTAAATTTAATTTTAATTAACTTAAATTTAAGTAGCCACATATAGCTAGGGACTCCTATACTAGATAGCTCAGATCTATATCAAGAAATGCAAAAAGATCTAGTTCCTTGCTACTCAGAGGGTAGCCCAGAGACCAGCAGCATCAGCATCTACCTGAGGGCCTGTTAGAAAAGCACAGTCTCAGGCCCCACTGCAGACCTACTGAACTGAAATCTGCATTTTAACAAAATCACCAAATATATCAAATATATGTATGATGTTTGAGAAACTCTGATCTAATAAACCTCATCTTCTTACCCCTCCAAAAAAGATAATAAAGTAGATATTTCATCAATAACGTGGAATAAGGCATGAAACTGAACTATTTGGTATTTTCCTGTTTTAATAGTGATTTCGAAGGAGAAAAGTAGGCTGAAGTGAATTAGAGAGTACTAATAATCTGATATATGATGGCATTTGGCTTTTGTATGTATATTGAAATATGCATTTGTCACATAATACAGCTTTATTATTTTATCCTTCAAGATTCTATGTTTCAAGAGATTTTTTAAATTAACACTTTTGCTTGAAATACTTGATATACACTGTGGGAGCAAAGTTAAAATGCAAATGACACAGGGAGCTTCCTTTGAGTTGCCAAATAAGAAGTTGGCTGGACTGCCACCAAACTATTCTTCCAAGAGCCTAGGCTCCCTTAATTAAGGTCTTCGGGTTCTGGGCAGGAAATGTACTAGCATGCTCCTAAACAGCTGGCAGCTAAGTTTAGAGTAGTTGGTCTCAAACTCAAAATGTTCATTCCTTTCATGTAAGGGTACTCTAATGCTTGCTCTACTAAGAAGGAATACAGCAGGGGAAGAAGGGTTGGTAGAAAACCTCTGCTAGGACATAATCCCACAGTATAGTTACAGCTATGCACCAGAACTAGCATGTTTCTCTATAGCATGTATAGCATGTAGTATAGCAAGGTAATGTGAGGTCCATACATCTGCTGATCTTCCTGTCTGTGATTTCCAGCCTACACCAAGTGCTACTTGCTGGTATAAACCCAAGTTCAGTGAATGACAAACACAGTGAAGATGTGGTAGTTAATGGCATGAAAGTTGACAACAGAAGTAAAACATTTTAACACAGTTTTCAATGGAAGGCATATAAAAATAAAATAATACCTTTTGTATTAAATTTTAAACTGATCTTCGGTCTTATATCAGTATCAGCTATTTTCAGAGATACCAACTTTTTATAACTGCAAATGGAAAAAAATTAAGTTACAGTGGAAATAAAATAATGCCAAAGTCAGTCAAGATTTCCAGTATAAGCATGACTATTTTCATCTTCTACTCCTAGAAATAATTCAAGAAGGAGAAAAATAATGGAACAAATAAAGCCCACCAACAATGACAACCCTACACTGTCACTTTCATTGGAATTATCAAGTAAGCAGTAGTGCCAGATTTCATACTAAACACATTACAAACTTCCTTGCAAAAAGGCTGTATGGTAGCAGAAAACAAGGAAAGAAAGCTTTGCATTGTAAAACCAAAAAAGCAAGCAAGCAAACAAAAAATTGCAAACTTGTAAATCCTCCCTGGCCCTCTCTTCACCACATACATTTTTTGGCAATAACTATTCCAAGAAAACCCAACTCATTTAACGCTTAGTGATTAAAAATAATAAAGATGCTAGCATAACGTCAATAAAAATAATTCGAAAATGAAGTAGCAAAATGTATTAACTAGACTAAGCACTAGGTAAATGTTGCCATTAAACAGATAGCTTCACTTTGAAATGAACCACAGAAAACAAAACAAAAAAATATTGGACAACACTACAATGTAAACTTAATGAGGAAAGGGATGTTGGTGGTTATTGTTATTTTTAACTGATTTGATCTCCAGTACCACTATAGCACTGTTAATTACACATTACACTGAAAAAAATGTAAAACTCTAACAATATGAAGTTATTGGCAAAGATACTAAGTAAAAGGTATCTCCTATATGGTTTGTGGGGAGTGTACATTTGTAAAACAATTTGGCAAAAGCTAGTGAAGTTACAGATATACACAGGTGGCCTAGAAAGTCTACTTTTAGGCATACATTCTGGAAATTTTTCTGCTCATACAGACCTAGAGACACGTACAAGAGAGTTCACTGCAAACTATGGTTATAGCCAGGAACTAGAAATAAATATCTATCAATGGTAGAATGATTAAATTAGTGAAGTAACACTCTAAAGTTAGAGCAATAAAATGAAAACACTGAAGTATGATAGTAAGAATGGAATCATACCAAACATGATTTTAAAATGCATAAAACCAAATGTTTCCATATATAATGTTTGAAACAAAAAAATTAAACTATACTTATAAGTAACAATAATTTATAAAATAAGTAGAAATAAAACATATAAAAACAATAGCACAAAAAAGGGAAGAAATGGAAATCTATTATTGCAAGATTCTTACACTATACATGCTGTAGTATAATATTATTTAAAAATAGAATTTAGTAAGTTAAAAATATGTATTGTAAGTCCTCAAGCAATACATAATATCCTCAAAAAAGGGTAAAACTAATAAACCAAATCAGGAAATAAACAATAAAACAGAAAAAGAAAACTGAAAACAACAAGGAAAACAGTAGATTTCCAACCATATAAATTAGTAAAGAAAATTCATATGGAATAAAAAACCCAGTTTAAAGGCAGAGATTGTCATTTTGGATATACAAAAGAAAGACCTCTGCCACCTACAAAGATATATGTAGGCTGAAGTAAATTGATGCAAAATACTAAACTAGATATACTTCAATGCACTAATCAAAACAAAGCTGGAATAACTATATTAATATCAGACAAAAACACTTAAGGCAAGAACATTATCAGGGTTCAAAAGAGATGTTAAATAAGAATAAAAGGGTCAAATTGTCAAGAAAAAAGATAACAATCCTAGATTTGTGTGTAGCATTTAATAAAAAAGTTTCTAGATTACAATTATACAGTAGACAAAAAATATAAATAGTAGACTTCAACATTCCCTGAGTAATTGATAGAAAAAGTAATAAAAAATGACATAGAATGCTGAAACAGAGCTGTAAACTAATTTTATCTAATTACTATTTTATTCAAGAGCAGCAGACAGATTCTTTACAAATGCAAGTGCAACCTTCACCAAGATATATAGTAATATGATCATAAAACAGATTACTGCAAGGGGATTAAACTGAAAGTCAGAATCCGGAAAGATAGCTGAAATATTCTCAAATATTTGGCAATTAAACAAATACTCCTAAAGAGCCCATGGTTAAAACATACACACACATGTGAAACTAGAAAACATTTTAAATATAATGAAAATAGTAATAATAAATTTCTACATAGCAAAACATATGGGAACACAGCTAAAGTAATGCTTAATGTAAAATAAGTTTATAAAGAACAAAGGTTTTGTATCAATGATCAAAACTTTCACCTTAAAAAAAATTTTAAAACAAAGCAAATTAAACCCAAAGCAACAAAAGCAAGGAAATTATCAAGACCAAACATCAATGAAATTTAAGCAAAAATATTATAGAAAAATCAAAATTAAAAGTTGATTATTTGAACAGATCAACAAAATTGATAAACTTCTATCCAGAATGATCAAGAAAAAAAACAAAGACACAAATTGCCAACATCAGAAATGAGAAAGGTGACATTGCTACAGAGAAAAGGTCTCTTTGGCTGAAGGAACCAGAAAACTGAAATGGAATCCTGACCAGTAAGAGAATGGGGTAATCCTAAAAGAAAAACCAGTCAGAAAAGAGATCCTCAAATTCTTTCTCACAATGTCTTTGAACACTGAACCACATGTACAGAACAGACTAAAAGCAGCTCAACTAAAGCCAAAAGATCTGGACTGAGACTGGATGCACCACCCAAGAAAGAGTTCAAAGTTCACATCTAGCCAAGTTAGTGGCCTGTCAAAATAAAAGTAAGATTACCCACTAGAGAATAATGGAATCCACAATCTCTACAACTACTTTGTATTTATTGTGGTCTAGCTATGTGCCAGCCATTATGCTACCTGCTGGGAACATCCTAGCAAACAAGATAAAGTTCTTGTATTCATGGAGGTTACACTCAAATGGAGAAGATAGCCAAGAAAGTATAACAAAAGTTAATAAGTGTTTTGATAGGAGACATAGAAGAAATACATCATAGAACATCTACTGTAATCTAAGAAAGGCTTTTCGAAAGTTTTAACTAGGCAAAGTCAAAGGAGCAGGGTATTCCAGGCAAAGCCTGGAGGTCAAATACTAAACCAGATATACTTCAGTGCAAAAACTGGGAAGGTTTCTTGACATAGCACACTGAAGAAACCAAAAGAAGTTCCGTATAGTTGGTACACATATGGTTAAGACTAAAGTGTCAAGGGATGACAATAATGAGTTCAGCTGTGTACAAGGTTAAGTCAAGAGTCAAACTAAAGAATCTGAACTTAATTTTAAAAGCAATGAGAAATTTCCGAAAGATCTTCATGTACAAAGTGATATATTCCAATTTTTATGTTAGAAAAGTCCTGTTGATGGTTATGAAAACAAGAGACTGAATAAAGGAAAGGCTAAAGACAGACACGTTAAGAAGCTGTTTGAGAATTCCAAATGAGAAATAATGATAACCTGATTTCATTTAGTGAAGTAGTAGAGATAGCGCAGAAATAAGAATAAATTTATATTTTAAAAATTAAATTGATAGTACTTTTTTAAAAGTTACAGAGCAGCGGTAGAAAGAAAGATAATGAGTCCAGTTTTGAACATGCTGCATTATAAATATTTTTGAAAAATCAAAATGGAGATATTCAGTATGGAGATAGGTATACAAGGTAAAGCTTTTAGGAGAGAGATATGTGCTAGAGATCAAGATTTGGGCTTCATTAACTAATAAGGGAAAGTTGATGCCTTAGATGTCAATGAAATGTCCCTACTAGATTGAAAAATGGCATTTACACTTTAGACAGAAGAAAAAGCGAATCAATAGATTAGGAGAACTTTTATACTGAAACTTCTAACTTCAGTAGCAAGGCTCTATAATACCTCTATTAATTCCAGTCTTATCAAATATATTACTCTGCAATACAGTTTTCTCATCTAAGAAACAGGAAGATTCTAATTGTAAGATAAGCTTAGTGGTTTGGATAAGTTTTAAAAGATAGAAAAGTCTATTTCATAACGAACTAACTTTAAGAAAAATATCTTTTATCTTTAGAAAAGGATTATTTTCACACTTAATGGGAAAGTATCCACATACTTTTTCTCCATATCTGTTTTACAATGTAAAACATTCCACATACAATTTCTCCATATCTGTTTTAGAATGTAAACATCTAAAATAAGTGGAGTTAGAGAGGGAAACAAATGGAATTAAATATGATTTTTTTCATATACCTAATACTACCTTAAAATTTGATGGAGCTCCATTAGGTGACAGAAACACAGAAGAATTAAGCAACCAAAAAAAAAAAAATATATACACAGATTCCAAAAAAGGTAACAGAGTAGCTTATTTTAAACTTACCTTGCTCCTAAATTTTCAATGGTTATATATTCGTCCTTTCTCACAACTTCAAACTGCAAGTAATGGGGAAAAAATTAGCCCTGAAGTACTTCAAGTTTCAAAATTGTGAATGTGATTTCTTAGCCTTAACATTTGAAAACTACAATGAGAGTGAAGCTACACTGAATACAAAACAAACAAAACAGAAATAACAAGGTAAGTAATAAACAATCCTGATCAAAAAAACAAACTAGAATTGACCTTAAAAAAGCAGTTCTACTTTACATCACTATAGGATTTAAATACCAAATCTGAAATACTAAAATAGCATATTTAAAAATAAAGAAATAAATAAGATACATTTCTATTCACAATTTTGGTCTGTTTAGTTATAAACTAAAAATTCAACAAGATATTTCATTAATTAAAACATAAAATGGATATCATCTGAGTGCATTTTATGTAACAGGTACTATATATGATGTTCTACAGATATTTTCATAGGAGGATATTTACAGACTAAAAGAGGTTCAGAAAGTCTAAAATTATTTTGAAACTTAGGTGTCAAAGAATTAGATAAATTCTCATTCTTAGTTCATGATACTTTCTTTATTGCTATACTTATGGCATGTTTTGTCTTTGTTTCTCTTTTTGTGTGTCTTTGTCTTTATTTCTAAATTTTTCTTGTTCTTAAGGACACTTAAATGTTACTTTGCATAAATCATAACAATAAAAAGGTCAAAGAGCCCAGTCACTATCAAAGGGAATATGGCTAGAATCCAATTACGATGATCCCCAAGTCTGTTTCAAGTCAAAAATACTTTTCCAATGAAGGAAAGCAAAAAAAAAAAAAAAAAGAGGAAATAAGATACTCACCAAAATTTTAACAATTCCAGGTACATCACATTGCAGCATCCTTGCCATGTCACCTGTACATCCTTCCTTCAAACATTTCTTCGCAATAAAACTCTAAAGTTATTAATAGAAAAAAATCACTGATGTGCAAATCTGATTATATTTAAATAAATGTTGTTAAAAACAAATGTTCCTAAACTGGAATATGTGAATAAATATTTGAGAGGTAGCTGTTCAAAGATTGTCCATTTCATAAATCAATGGATATCCTATTTAAAATGTATTTCACTCTACATCAAAATTGTCAAGTAGCAATATTACAGACTAAAACGCATTTGTTGCTCCAGAGAAAACAACTTCAAATAAAATGTACTAATTAAGTGAGTGTTAAAGGATTACTGAATTTCTATCAGGGAAAAGGAAAGAATAAAAATGTTACATCCTTTTTCTAGTTCTGGCCTGTGATTTCTTTTGGTTAGGTTGCTCATTTTTCTTTTACTTCTCTTTCTAAAATTCAATAATATTAATTGGCCCCCAAATGAAGGAAATTGTAAAGTATTTATATATCACTTAGAATTGATTAAGTAAATATTTATAAAGTTGTTTTTACAGTATATAATGTGAGTTCATCTGTTTTATCTGTTAATTCTCACAAAAATCCTATGAAATAGGTTTATCTTATCCTTACTTTAGAACTTAAAAATATTAATCTTTGAGCACTTACCAGTCTAATATAATAAATCTAGTAAGTGGCTCAGTCTGGACTTTAACCTAGATCTCCCAACTCCATATTCCGTGCACTTTCTACTACAGCACAATTGCTTTAAAGGGGTTTTCTATTGTTTGCAGAATGTAAACACTATAGAACCAAACATTATAGACCCAACTTATGGTCATCAGCTCACTAAAGAGAAATTAATACAGAGCTGGGCTTAGTATTTCCACTTTAATATTAGTGGCAAATAACTCTATTAAATGTTACATATTGTAATAGTTAATAATTATAACAATCATGTTATATAGAATAGTCATAACTATTATATAACTATGCTATGTTATATAATTATATTATCTATAACTATATATATGTAACTATTATAACTACAGATATTAAAAATTCCAAATATATTTTTCAAGACTATGAAATTTGTCCTTGTTCTTCACCTCTTAAATAGAAATCCTTAAAACTGTATAATTATCCTTTGTGTGTTTAAGAAATTCTATTCTATGATCCTACATGCATATATGCAACAGTATTTCTATTCTTAAGAGTATACATTTCTAAAAGGAAGTAAATAAATTGATAGAAACCGCTAAGCTAACCAACTAGTAGTGTATCATCTACAAAGAACTGTTTAATAAATGATGATGATGAATGAAAAGTGGTAGGGAGATAAGCATCAGAGAGAACTGGGAAAGAACAAAGAAGGTAGTAAAAGAAAAAGAAAAAAGAAGTAAAAAGGAGGGAAGTTATGAACAGGAAGAAATGATGGGGAAGAGAACAAAAGAGGAAAGGGTATAGGAAGAAATGCTATTGTAGTTTTAAGAAGGAACATAGTACCTGATCATTTTCACCTGGATATTTTAAATTCTTAAACCTTTTCCAGCAAATTTTGTGGAAATAAACACAGCAATTTTTACTGCACATTAACTGAAAAAATCCCTGGAAAAATATAAAAGTAAGTGTCAGTTAAGGACATAGTGATTCTTATATATAGATAAATAATTATACTAAATCATTTTTAAAACTGTTATACAATTAGATTTTACAAGGTATTCAAAATTTATCAACAGAAATCAGAGATCACCAAATAACTTTACAAGTCGTTTTTACATCACTAAAGACAGGAAAACTAAGACAGTAAAAAAAAAAAAAAAGGTGAATAATTTGAAAAAGTTAATATAATATTTTCCATATGCTCTGTTCAACAAAACATCAGAAACGCAGTGAGGGATATCTACAGAGGAACATGCAATCTACCCATCTTCATCTCCATTTTTACATTTCTCTTTCCACCAACCCCAGCTCCAAACCATTACTGCCTCAATCTCCTCTGTTACCAATCACGAGAACTCAGATTTGCTGCCTTGGTGATAGCCCCTGAGCTACTGCATTATCCGAGGGTATAGATTGCTTGTCCTTTCCATTGCACCCTCCCTGGAAACTACAGCCTTGCTTTTTAAAATTTTTGTTTTGATGACAAAAATTAAATTGTATGCTCAGGTATTGTTGCTGCTACATGCTGTTCATTTGATTAGAACTCTAAAGCATTCTTGGGAAACCTTAGGACTGTATCACCATGTCATCTAAAGCAATACTGAACAAGCCTGACCATGAGCACTGCATCTACCAGGCTCACTTTTCAATCCCTGTCTTAGTCTATTGACTAGATCTTGGTCTTCTCCTTCTCCCCACCTACTGCACTGGCTGTACACGTTATGTCTTGAAATTGAGATTTCAGTTATTTTTTAAAAGTATTGTCTGATTTGCGTAACATCTCATCCTATCTTGTGATATCACAAAATCTTGTTCTGATAGATCCAGAGATCAACAGAGGCTGGTTACATTTTCCCCCTGTCAAGGCCCACAGAAGAGATAATGATCACTTATTTAGTAGCACCATTCCTGAGGAGTGACAGCCTTTCTCCTTAGTCAAATGCTACCATTCTCAACCTCTAACATTTCTAACTATAAAGTAAAGCATTTTTAGATCATTTTCACTGTATGGTTGACTGTGGGAATAATACTTATAACTTCAAATGCATATGAATTTTACAAAAACCTTAGCAAAACCAATTTATTCTTTTATTGACTCATGAAATATAAATAATTCCTGATCACTCTAAATCTTAACTTCTCAGAGATAACTTTTCAACTGCTTTTCCATTGTAATTAAACAAAGTACTGTTTAAAAATAATTTATGCATATATAATTTTATATGTTTATATATAATTTTTCAATTACATTTTTAAAAAACTGTTAATGACAATCACAGTACCTTATAACTGGTGTTCTTCAAAATGTCAGCTTCACAAGATCGTTCACAATCTAGGTAACTACAAATGGTCTGCTTCATTATATTACTTTCAGTTGTCTTGATAAAATTATTAAGAAGATCCTAGATTTTAAAAACAGAAATAATTCTCATGAATTATTAATAAAAAATTAACACCACAATTAAGCCTACCCATGTTTTACCTTGGTAATATGTCCATATCATATTCCTTTTTGAAGTACTTGTATATATGTATTTTTTTAATAGTAATAAAACATTTCCCTAATTCAAAGTAAACAATGTATAGGAAGGTCCTAAATTAGAAGTACTGGATTTATCAATGAATGATAAAAACATGGAGAATGGAGAGAAGTGTATTTTGAAGCTATACTTCTCTTTATCACCTAATCCATAGCATAACACCTGGCATGTTCCTATCAAGAATTATTTGCTCTGGCCAGGTGTAGTTGCTCACACCTGTAATCCCAGCACTTTGGGAGGCTGAGGTGGGTGGATCACAAGGTCAGGAGTTCAAGACCAGCATGACCAACATGGTGAAGCCCCGTCTCTACTAAAAATACAAAAATTAGCCAGGAGTGGTGGCACATACTTCTAATTCCAGCTACTCTGGAGGCATATGCAGGAGAATCGCTTAAACCCAGGAGGTAGAGGTTGCAGTGAGCTGAGATCATAACACTACACTCCAGCCTGGTCAACAGAGTGAGACAACATCTCAAAAAAAAAAAAAAAAAAAAGAAGTATTATTTGCTCTCATCTATACACACAGAAAGACAGTAAATTGCTGGTGTCCAGGAGAATCCTGATCGGAACCAACCCCTAGGTCACTGCATTGGCAGTGGAACAACTGTGGTAGTACAATATAACATTCACTGCCATGATGGACAAAAGTACAGTAGAGAAATATGTTTTCAATGTCTATAGCTACAAATCAGAATATAATTTCTCATTTTAAAATGCTGATTTAATGGCCAGAAGTGGTGGTAATCACAGTATTTTGGGAGGTCAATGCACAAAGCCTGCTTGAGCACAGGAGTTCAAAGCTGCAGTGAGCTATGGGAGCACCATTTCACTACAGCCTGGGTGACAGAATGAGACTCTATCTCTAAAAAACAGTATAAAACACTTAAGAAATAAATGAAATGCTGATTAAATGCAGGTGAATCATGTTATGAGGTCTAAGTTAAATTATTAGATAAGGTCCTTCACATTTATCCTTTAGAGGGAGAGTGTTACAAAATTTCAAATAGTATTACTGCTAATATACTGAGGGTATAAGATAAGATAAATAAGCCTCTAGAAATTATTTCACAAATATCAGCTCTATGCAGGAGGATAAAGTTGAGAAAATTTCCCAGAAAGTAGAAAAAAAATTGAGAAATAAAAAAATTAAAGACTCGGTCTAGTATGAAAGGCATCTGGATAATAAGTATTTCATAGAGAATAAGAGAAAATTAAGAAGATATATCAATATATAAAACAAGAAAATGTTCTAGAAGCAAAAAACAAGTTCAGAACACTGGGGACACAGAAAATATTCTTAACAATTCCCAGAAAGAAAAAAATAAAACAGGTCAAATACAAAAGTTTAAAAATCAGAATAAAATCAAGTTTCTTAAAAGTAGTATTAGAAGTTAAAAGATAACAGAAAAATACACAAGAGGCCAAAGTGGGAGGATTGCTTGAGCCCAGGAGTTTGAGACCAGCTTGGGCAACATAATAAGACCTTGTCTTTACTTAAAAAAAGAATCTTTTTTTTTAATTAGGCATGTGCCTATAGTCTCAGCTACTTGGGAGGCTGAAGCAAGAGAATTGCTTAAGCACAGGAAGTTGAGGCTGCGGTGAACCATGATCATGCCACTGCACTCCACCCTGGGTGACAGAGAGACCCTGTCTCCAAAAAGAAAAATTATTTTCAACCCACAATTCTATGCTCAAGCAAGATATGAATAGAGCATACAAAGGATAAATTATTTTGATACTTGAAAGGTCTCAAAAACTTTACCTTCCATGCAAGCTCTCTTTTACGGGAAGCTACTAGAGGCTACAGGAGTTGCACCACCAAAAGAAGGGAGCAACCCTAGGAAGGAAAACTTGAATTCTGAGAAACAGAGGATTCCACATAGAAGAAAGGTGAAGAAAATTCCCAGTATGAGAGTGAACAGAAACCTTGAGGCCAGCTTAATAATAAAAACTTACAGCTACTAGTAGAGTAGGATAGGAGAGAGAGAGAGACAGAGAGAAAGAAAATGTGTGTGTGTGTGTGTGTGTGTGTGGACATATAAGCAAGCTAAACTCTCATCTTTCATAGTAAAAATCAAAAGAGAATATGTTTTAAATAGCAGTATTTTTTTTGAAAAATAAATATCAAAGAAAAATGTCTAGAAAGTTGGAAGCATGCTTCTAAGAAGCAGAATTTCAGCTAGAGATAACAAAACAGGAACTCTTATTTTAAGTCTTTAAATATTATTTTACAAACTGAGTAAGTATATTACTGTGCATAAAATAAAAGTTCACTTAAAAAGTTGGATAACAAAGGAAGCAAAATATTTTTAAAAGAGGAAGAAAAAGAGTAAAACAACCAAGTAAGAGACTGCTTTATGTAGGGATGAAAATTTAGTATTTTTTAAATGCATAAAATTATTACTTTATCAAGTCAAAATTAAAAGTTATATGATTATCTTGACAATGCCAAAAGCTGTCTGCATGTTCTATTGATTACTGAGAGAGGTATATTAAAATATTCCATTGTGATTGGGGATTTAAAAATATTTCAATTTTTGACCCATATATTTTGAAGCTGTATTACTTTCAATTTTGTCAATTTTTGTCCCATATATTTTGAAGCTATATTACTAGGTATATACAAATTTGAGTTGTTACAGCTTCCTAGATAATTGAATTTTGTATTTTTATAAAGTGTCTCTCTTTATTTTGAGTAATGCTTTTGGCCTTAAAGTCAGGCAAAACAAAAAGATCAATAAAGATTTAAAGTTTCTTTAAGGTTTTGAAAAAGATATGTCATTTAAACATTAACCAAGAGAAACCTGGTATAGCCATGTTCATATTTAACAAATTAAAAAGAGAGGCCCAAATGGCTTATCAGGTGGAACAAAAATTACTCAAAAGGTAAAGGACACCCAGAAAGTATGGGAAAATGAAAAGTCTCACACTATTTGAAGAATATAAAATGGTACAATCTTTCTGAGAGGAAATTTGGAGACATACAACAACTTCACAATTGTGTGAATACTGCTCCACAATGCCACCTTTGAAATTTATTCTAATGAATTTATTAGCAATTTATTCTAATGAAATGATGTAAGAAATATGCAAAGATTACTTTATATAAGAAGAAAAAACTGGAAATGTCTAGAATAAAATAGCAGAAAACTAATTAAGCAAATTAAAGCAAAATTATACAAGGATTATACCAACATCACAGTGTATAATAATCTTTATTACTGAGAAATAAAAAGTACTATATATTTCCAGACTACAAATAAGTGTGCACAACATCACACCAATTTAGGAAAAATAAAGGCTATGAGTGTATACGTGTGTGTGTCTGTGTGTGTGTGTGTGTGTGTGTGTGTCTGGAAAGCTATAAATGAAAACGCTAACAATGGTTTCTCCATTTGAAGAAAAAATATAGATAAATTCCATCTTTATCTTTGGGCATTTTTATATTTTCCATGTTTTCTGAACTAAGCATTTAGTACTTTGTAATTTAAATCAACAGCAAAATAATGGTAAAGGTAATTAGGAAAAAAAGTTAACTGCTATATTTTACTCTAATCATGCAGGGTACTAGCCTAATATAGCCATTAATATTCTTGTTATTTGAAAATGCTAACACTGCCACCTAACTTCTTCCTCCTTGTTGAATCATACATTCTGCACTAGGTAACCCAATAAAGGTTGTTTCTTATATAAAAAGTTGTGTGTCAATAAAACAATGTGCTTGCTATAAGAATATGACATAGTTGTTTCACACTTTATGAAAGATGATTCTGATTAGTTACAAATAAAATGTTACTCTTAGATAATTTCTTACTTTAAAAGTTGTAGGTAAATCTTCATCTTCTGTAGGATCTATGTCAAACCAATGGTCATTTATATCTCCAATTTCTTGTAAGCCCTTATGAAATTCTAGCAGTCCTCCATTATATCTGCAAGGCATTTTAAAATAAGGTTAGTTTGAATCAGAGTGTGCAGATGGATGGTTTACCAATGAGAACAAGTAACTCACATTTTGTGGTAAATAGAATGGTGATAAACTCTGGCATGCCATAGAAATACAAATACTAGGACTCTCGCCTGTGGCAGATTGGGATGAAATACAGGTGGAAGGGGAGGCACTAGATTGTGTAGTAGCTCAAGCTTGAACAGTATGGGGGCCATGGTAATTAAAGGGACTGTAGAGTTGGTTGGCTTTTGTTAAATGTCTTGGAGGCCTTGAAGGAAGAGAATGACAGTCACAGGTCAGCCAACTATTAACTCAGGATACACTGTGAAAGCCAGACGGCCTCTATGGTGGCCTCAACAAGACTAATACAATCAACTCAGGACATTGTGAAAACTAGAAGGCCTCTATGGTAACATCTAAAGAACCTCCTCTAGACTTAAGGCAGACTATGCTGAAAATGAAGTTCAGGATTTAAACATAAGGGTAGAACAGCCTCAACAGAACTACACTAAAATTAGGACTTTGATATGCAATGGATAGACCCTGGGATCTAACATGGGGATATTTAGGTGAATATGCTTAGAAACGTTGAATCCTTAAATTCCCCATGAACCTTCTTAACTGGCAAATACCTCTTCCTTACCACAGGAGAGCAGCCTACCTTTATTTAAAGACCATGCAAAAACATCAGCTGAGATGCATGTCTCAAAAGATGATGCCTTTCCTTCTTAAGATCTTCCCTACCTCACTGCCTTCAGACAATAAATCTAAGGTCAGGTGGAGAGCCCAAGTGAGAAAAGAGAGCCCTTGCCCAAGAAGCAAAAGCTTATTAATCTTAAGAATTGCAGAATCCCACTAGAATGTACTGGCAGAAACATGAGTTGGAGTGGATCTTTAAAGTGCTGAACTAAGGGTAAACATAAGGCTGGATAGGGAAGTGTACACTGATATGGAAAAACTCTTCCATAATTCAAGATTTACTTTCCTAGAAAGGACACCTGAATCCAGTCCTAAGAGGGTGCTGAGAAGGCTCCTTGAAACATGGACACGATGGTCTATAGTAAATGAAGTAGAAATGCTAAAAATTTCTTGGAGGAATATTAAAGCAGTCAGGAGGTTCATGGAAGTGAGAATGTTAGAATGGACTTACTACATGAAAATACAGAACCCACCACTAATTCAATGTTCTTAGGAAGGCTCAAAGGATACTCCATTCATTAATACATTAAAAAATGCAGAGTAAGAAGGGCACATGTGTCTTTGAAGAGTGCAAGAACTCAGTGGTGGTTGTCCTCTATAGGCCAGGGATGAAAGTAATGATGCTGCCATACAACTGGACTTTCTAGTGTCAGTTATGTGGAAAATGAATTCTCTCCAATGTTTAACAGTAATGAGAATATAAAAGTTTTCACATCTGGGGAAGGACAGCAGGATAGATTCTTTGTTCGTGTCTCAGGCTATGTTAATTCTCTTACTTTGTCACAGTATAGACTGAAGGGATTTGGATCATTTTGACATTCTGCAAACCATCACACTAGCCCCACTATATTGATGGCACATGTTGCTCAGACCCAGGGAACAATAAGTGAGATGTCTTGTGGATACCCTAGCGAAAAAACACCAAGCCAGAGAATAGGAAATCAGCCTTACAAAGAATCCAGGAACTAGCACATAATTGACACTTTTAGAGATCCAATGGTTTGGCCCAGCAGGAATCCTTCATAAGAGGTTGCCCAAATAAACTTTTCCTAATTCATCCCTCAGATCTTAGCCAAACACTGTTTCCTCAGGGAGACTTCTGATTCCCAGAACAAGCTTACAGGAAAGATTTTATTCACTGTATTTTCCTTCATATCTCTTTATCCTATTTCATAAATGTGTATTTTATGACTGATTATTTGATTAAGATCTGTTTATTTCACTGTACTTTCAGTTACATGAAGATAGGAGCTGTATTTTGTAAACCATTGTAACCTCAACACCTATATATAATATAGTTTCTGGAATATAATCGATACTTAGTAAATAAAATGAATGCATGATGCTACTAATGGTTATGGATCTTCATATAGGAAGCAAAGAGATAATCTATATAGTTTCATCCATACAATTTCACTTTCTTAAAATAAGTAGTAGTCAATACTCCAAAAACTCAGCATTTGGACCCTTTTCAACTCTTTATAAGCTTATTTATACTTTTAAAAACTATTCCAAGTTAGTGTTGATAATACTAGTAATTCCAACTATCGTTGATTTATTAAGTACAGCATTTTTGTGTCCCAGGCACTGAGTTAATCATCTGCAACATCCTTATGAGATGAATCATACACTATTATTAGTTCTATTTTAGAAGTAAGAAAAAAAATGTAAGGCTTAACAACATTAAGTTTCTTAGGGTTAAGTGATAGAAAATGTAGCTGATCTTAGGTCTATCAGACTCCAAAGCCTATGCTCTCAATGTTAATGCTAGACTGCCTCTTAATGCCATGGCCTGTTAAGTTTCATATTTAATATTCTCAACTATAGTAAAGAAATTATCTATACAAAAAGGCAAAGAAGACAAGGATAAACCAGTAGAGCACAAATGTCACAATGCCTGGTATATTGTGCACATTAATTCCACTTCACAATGCTAAGACTTTATAGGGAAGATCTACCTATTAATTAAAATCCTTACCTCTTCTGAGCACATCGCAGTAAACCACGTCCAAAATAAACTAAAGACATAAAGTTTTCACAAATTTCATTCTCTTGGATCACCATCTTCATCACCAGAAATTTATTCTCAGCTTCTGTATAATCCTGTAGTAACATAAAACTAGGTTTGGCTGATGCAAAAAGCATTTTTTTTCTTTTACAATAAACAATTATTTCTCAAACTGAAGAAATTAGGGTAGCTTTCAAAATCATGCAATCATCTGGTCATTTATTTACATTTTAAATCCTGGCATCTCTGTATGTGATTACAAAGATCATGTAGTCAGTGTTTAAAATATTTATTCATACATAAATTTAAGACCTTCTTTAACCAGTATTTCAAAGTAAATATTAAGATGGTAACAACAATTTGCGTATCTAAAACTGGCAATTAGGCATGGTGGCACACACCGATAGTGCCAGCTCCGTAAGAGGCTGAAGCAGGAGGATTGCTTGAGCCTGGGAGTTCAAGTCCAGCTTGGGCAACATAGTGAGATCCCCATCTTTTAAATACATATATTACATACATAACTGGCAAGCATTACCAGCCAAAATAAGGGCTTTTCTGATAACTGTTAGAGCACAGTTCTTTATCATTTTCCTAACTGGAGAACAATCCTTCACAGTTTTTCAAATAGAAAGTAAGTGACTCTTTGACCATAGATATAGATTCTTTTGGGGTATCACCATCTTAATCATAAACAACATAGGTCTAGAAGTAAATATCAGGATCTGTCATAATAGATGCTTCAGTAAAACAGGCATAATAGCCTCAGTCTCTCTAGGAAAAAAATAAGCTAGGAAAATACTGCATGGCCTTACTTTAAAATATTCTCTAGTACATCACACTAAATAATTAGCACTACATAAAATTATTTAAAATAGAAATGTTTCTGGCTAACATGGTGAAACCCCATCTCTACTAAAAATACAAAAATTAGCCAAGCATGGTGGTGTGCTCCTGCAGCCCCAGCTATTCAGGAGCCTGAGAGAGGAGAATCGCTAGAAACTGGGAGGTGGAGGGAGCAGTGAGCCGAAATCGCGCCACCAACACTCCAGCCTGGTAACAGAGTGAGCCTCTGTCTCAAAATAAATAAATAAAATAGAAATGTTTTCAGTTTGGATGCTTATCAATTCTACTTCATCTAAATAACAATTCATATTTATATATTTAATTTATGAAGTCAAATAAAAATACAGATTTGGGAAGAAAAAGTAAGAGAAATATCAAGGCTATGAAGAAAATATGAGAAATCATTAAAAATCAGAAAAAGAAAGAAAATGTTAAATTCAACAGAATCCTTAGAAATTATCTAGTTAATTCCCAGATTTTTACTTATTTGCACTTAAGTTTGGCAAAGAATTTGAGGCAAAATTCATGTTTTACCAAAGGGGTAAGATTAAAACCACAGGGATTAAACTACACTAGAAAATGGATTAAAATGTATCATACAAGTGAAAGCAGCTAAATAATTTTTTATTTTACGCAAATGGTATGCATTTGAAAGATAAATGAACCGAAGTTATAAGCTAATATTCAGTTTCCTTTTTAAATATATTTAGTTTCATATGATAATCCTTGGCCTGATTATTTTTATAAAGGGCAAATACCATGCTACATACCTCTTTCTTTCCTCTTTCAGTGAGTGCTACTCCATATAAAAACAGTAATGTCAAATAATAACCAACATTAATCTGGCGTGCCTAAAAAGAAAATAAAATGTTAATTGGTTATTTTGACTAAGCTACTTTTCAGTAAAATCTTAATTAAATATCCTAAGCTTAATTAATAATTATTAAAATGAGTACAAATTATCATTACCTTATCAGTTATCTAATAATAATTATAGATAATATATTTTAGATATATTTGATAATTCGACCCAGGAAGAAGAAAGAGGATGGTCAATAATCTCAAAATGAAACATTAAAATTTAATTAAAGGAAAGCATATGGAACAAAGATGGCCAAACAGAAACCGCCAACAATCGTTCCAACACAGGAACACCAAACTGAACAACTACCCCACAGAGAAGCCCCTTCATAAGAAACAAACATCAGGTGAGTCATCACAGTACTTGGTTTGAACATCATATTAATGAAATAGGCACTGAAGAGGGTAGGAAAGAGTTAAATAGCCTACACCATCCCTTCCTCTATCCCCTGACAATAGCTATGTGGCATGGAGAGAGAATCTGTGTGCTTGGGGGAAGGAAAGCACAGTGACTGTGGGACTTTACATTGGAACTCTGCTGCCCTGTCACATCCGAAAGCCACCCTGAGTGAGCCCCCCTGAGATCACTGAATTCAGTCAGCGATCATGGAGAAAGCATTTAGACAAGTGTTAGCCACAGGCAAATAGCCCAACCCAGCAGTCAGAGCCTGAGTTCCAGCAAGCCCTGCCAGAGTGAGCCAAAGTGCTCTGGGGTCCTAAATAAAAGGCAGTCTAGGCCACAAGGACTGCAATTCCTAGCCATGTCCTGGTGCTGTGCTGGGATTGGAGCCAGTGGATTTGTGGTAATACACAATCTAGTAAGATACCAGCTGGAGCAGGCAAGGGAGTGATTATGTCACCCCTCCAACTCCAGGGAAAACAACTCACAGGTCTGGGAGAGACACCTTCCCTCTGCTTGAGCAGAGGAGAGATAAGAGTTAAGAAGATTTTGCCTTGCAACTTGAATAACAGCTCAGTCATGGTAGAATCCTGAGGCTCTAGCTGCAAGACAATATTTCTAGACACACCCTGGGGCAGAAAAGAACTCACTGCCTTGAAGGTAAGAACCCAATCCTTGCAGGATTCATTACCTGCTGACTGACTAAAGAGCCCTTGGGCCCTGAATAATCAACAGTAGTAGCAGTACTCACCATGGGGTGAGACTCAGAGCCATGCTGGCTTTAGGTGTGACTCAATATATTCCCATCTGTGATGGCGATGGTGAGAGATGGCTTTCGGCTTGAGAAAAGCAGAGGGAAAAGTAAAAGGGACTCTGTCTTGCAGCTTGGGTGTCAGCTCAGCCACAGTGGGGTAGAGCACTAAGTGGGCTTCTGGGGGTCCCACTTCCAGACCCTGGGTCCGGTCTGGCACTTCTGGACTTGCCCTAGGCCAGAGAGAAAGGCACTGCTCTGAAAGGAGAGACTCAATATAGGTAGCAAGGCAGTGGTCACCACAGAGTTTGAGCAAGACCAGTGCTGTGCTGGTGTCATATCTGAACTAGCACAGTCCCATTGGTCGTGGCCACAGGAATGCTTGTGTCACCCCTCTCCCAGCTCCAGGCAGCTTGGCACAAGAGAGAGAGACAGAGAGACTCTGTTTAGGATAAAGGAATAGAAGAGAACAAGCGTCTCTGCCTGGTAATCCAAGGAGTTCTTCCAGATCTGACCCAAGACTACCAAATGGTACTACTATGAATCTGCAAGAACCACAGTTTTACTGGGGTTAGAGTGTCCCCTAATGCAGATATGGCAGCAGTGAACAAAGACTTAGATCACGATACCTAATCCCTTTGAATACCTGGAAAGCCTTCCATAAGAAGGGCAGGTACAAAAAAAGGCCATACAGTGGAGACTATAATACCTAACTCTCCAATGCCCAGACATTGATGGACATACATAAGCATCAAGACCATCCAGGAAAACATGACTTTAACAAACTAATAAAGGCACCAGTTGCCAATTCCAGAGAGACAGGCATGTGACATTTCAGACACAAAATTCTAAACAGCTGTTCTGAGGAAGTTCAATGAAATCCAGATAACACAGAAAAAAAATTCAGAATCCTATCAGATAAATTTAACAAAGAGATTGAAAACAATTTTTAAAAATCAAGTATAAATTCTAGAGTTTAAAAAAGCAATTGACATGCTGAAGAATTTACCAGTCTCTTAACAGCAGAATTTATCAAGCAGATGAAAGAAGTAGTGAGTCTGAAGACAGGCTGTTTGAAAATACACAAAGGAGACCCCAGAAAGAATTTTAAAAATGAAGTATACCTACAAGATCTAGAAAATAGCCTTAAAAGGGCAAATCTAAGGGCTAGTTGCCTTAAAGAGGTGGCAGAGAGAAAGATCAGGATAGGAAGTTTATTCAAAGGGATAAAAACAGAGAACTTTCCAAATCTAGAGATATGAATACTCAAGTACAAGAAGGCTATAGAACACCAAGTAACCCTCACCCAAATTAGGACTATCTCAAGACATTTGATAATTGAACTCCAAAAGGTCAAGACTAAAGAAAGGATCCTAAAAGCAGCAACCAAAAGGAAACAAGCAACATACAATGGAGCTTCAATACGCTGGCAGCAGACTTTTCAGTGGAAACCTTACAGGCCAGTAGAGAGTAGCATGACATATTTAAAGTGTTGAAGGAAAAAAAACCTAGAAAAAAAATACTATACTGTTCTGGAATAGTATATCCAGCAAAAATATTCCTCAAACATGAAGGAGAACTAAAGGCTTTCCCAGACAAACAAAAACTGAGTGATTTCATCAACACCCTACCTGTCCCACAATAAATGCAAAAGGGAGTTCTTCAATCTGAAAGAAAAGGACATTAATGAGCAGTAAGAAATCATCTAAAGGTACAAAACTCACTGGTAATAGTAGGCACACAAAAAATGCAGAATATTATAACACTGGTGTATAAACTACTCATGTATTAAGCAGAAAGACTGAAAGATGAACTGGTCAAAACTACTTGATGGTTTCAATGCTGAATTTTACCAAACATTTAAAGAAAAATTAACACCAACGGTATTCAACCTATTCTGAAAAACAGAGGAAATAATACCTGCAAACTCATTCTGTGAGACCAGTATTACTCGATACCAATACCAAAGATACATCAAAAAATATATACACATATTGGCCAACCTATCCGATGAACATTGGTATAAAAATCCTCAACAAAATACTACCAAACCAAATATCAGTAATCATGACCAAGTGGGATTTATCCCAGGATGCAAGGATGGTTCGCCATAGGCAAAATAATCAATGTTATACATTATATCAAAAGAATGAAGGATGACAATCTTGTCCTTCATGGTATGATCATGGTATAATCATTTCAATTGATGCTGAAAAAGCATTTGATGAAATTCAACATCATGAAAAAGACATGATAAAAGACTGGGTACCAAAGGAACATACCTCAACCCGATAAAACATATATGACAGACTCATAGCTAGTATCATACTGAATGGGGGAAAACTAAAATTCTTTCATCTAAGACCTTGACTATGACACGAATGCCCACTTTCACCACTATTATTCAACATAGTACTGGAAGTCCTAACTAGAGTAATCTGACAAGAGAAAGAAATAAAGGGCATCTAAACTAGAAAGGAAGAAGTCAAATTATCCTTGTTTGCAGATAATATGATCTTATATTTGGAAAAACCTACAGATTCCATGAAGAAACTACTGTAACTGAAAAACATATTCAGTAAAGCTGCATGATATAAAATAAACAAACGAAAATCAGTAGCATTTCTACATGCCAACAGCAAACCTGAAAAAGAAATCCAGAAAGTAATTCCATTTACAATTGCTGCACAGAAAATAAAATACCTAGAAATTAATTTAACCAAAGAAGTGAAAGACCTCTACAATGAAAACTCCAAAACACTGATAAAAGATATTGAAGATTAAAAAAAGAGTGGGAAGAAGATGTTCCATGTTTATGGGTTGGAACAATCAACACTGTTAAAATGTTCGTATTACCCAAAGCAATTTACAGATTCAATGTAATTCCTATCAAAATACCAATGATATTCTTCACAAAAATTTTTTAAAAATCCTAAAATTTGTACAGAACCACAAAAGACCCAGAATAGCCAAAGAAATCCTTGAATAAAAAGAACAAAACTGAAGGAATCACATTATCTGACTTCAAATTATACTACAGAATTATAGTAAACAAACCAGCATAGTACTGGCATAAAAGAAAAGACACATAAACCAATGAAACAGAATACAGAACCCAGAAACAAATCCATACATCAACAGTGAACTCATTTTTGACAAAGGTGCCAAGAACATACATTGGGGAAAGAATGGTCTCTTCAATAAATGGTGCTGAGAAAACTAGATATCCATATGCAGAAATGCAGAAGAATAAAATTAGACTTTTATCTCTCACCATATGCAAAAATCAAATCAAAATGGATTAAAGACTTAAATCTAAGACCTCAAGCTATAAAACTACTAAAATAAAACACTGGGGAAGCACTCCAGGACATTGGATTGGGCAAAGACAGGCAACCAAAGCAAAAATGGGCCTATGGGATAATATCAAGTCAAAAAACGTCTGCATAGCAAAGGAAACCATCAACAAAATGAAGAGACAATCCATAGAATAGGAGAAAACATTAGCAAACTACCCATCTAACAAGGAATTATTAATAATAACTAGAATATATAAAGAGTTCAAACAAGTCTATAGGGAAAAAAATCTAATAATCTAATTTTAAGAATCTAAATAAACATGTCTCAAAAGAAGACATACAAATGGTAAAGAAGTCCATAAAAAGGTGCTAACATCATTCATCATCAAAGAAACGCAAATAGAAATTACATGAAGATATCATCTCATCCAAGTTAAAATGGCTTATGTACAAAAGGCAGGAAATAACAAATGCTGGTGATAATGTGGGGAAAAGAGAACCCTCTTACACTGTTGGTGGGAATGTAAGTTAGTAAAACCACTATGGAGAGCAGTTGGAGGGTCCTCAAAAAGCTAAAAATAAACCTACTATATGATCCAGCAATCTCACTGCTGGGATATAATCACAAGAAAGAAAATCAATGTACCAAAGAAATATTTCATTCTCATGTTTATTGCAGCACTATTCACGATAGCCAAGATTTGGAAGCAACCTAAGTGTCCACCTAGATGAATAAATAAAGAAAATGTGGTACATATACACAGGAGAGCACTATTCAGACATTTAAAAAAAAGAATGAGATTCCCCCCAGCATTTTGAGAGGCTGAGGTGGGAGGATCACTTGAGCCCAGCAGGTCAAGACCCGCCTGGGCAATAGTGTGAGACCTCATTTTTATTTAAAAAAAAAATAAAAGAATGAGATCCTGTCACTTGAAACAACATGAATGGAACTGGAGGTCATTATGTGAAGTGAAATAAAACAGATAAAGACAAACTTTGTATGTTCTCACTCATTAGTGGGAGCTAAAAATTAAAACAAGTGAACTCATGAAAGCGGACAGTAGAATGATGGTTTGGAAGAGTAGGTGGGAGTTGGGGAGAGTGGTAATGCTTAATGGGAACAAAATATAGAAGATAAAATGAATGAGATTTAGTATTGATAGCACAACAGGCTAAGTACAGTCAACAATAATTTGTTGTACATTTTAAAACAAGAAAGAGAGTATAAATGAACTGTTGTAACACAAAGGATAAATGCTTGAGGAAATGGATAACCCATTTATGCTGATGTAATTATTACACATTACATGCCTGCATCAAAGTATCTCATGTACTCCTTTAAAATGTACACCCACGTACCCACACAAATTAAAAATAAAAATTTTAAAAATTGGTAAAAAAGAAGCAAATATCATCAAAATTGGTCACATTAAACCTTTCAAAAACTCTCATTCACTTTGTTCCTCTTTTATTATGTAACATTTTTGGTATCAAGAACATATTAAATAATAATATAATGAACACTAAAGTATCCACCTTCCAACATTAAAAATACAATGATCTTTTAAATCAAAATTCTTTACTCTCCTTAGGGATTCCACAAAATAGTATGAACATAAAGCTTATCACTTTTTCAATGAAAAATTAAACCATGTGGTATTTTCTTCGTATAAAAATGGTCTATGCAAAATTACTGAGATGAGATAAATTAGGGATCAGCAAATTGTAGAGGGAGAGAAGTGGGTGTGACCATAAAGGTAGCATAAGAGAGATTTTTGTGGTGGTGGAATAGTTATTTCATCTTGATTGCAGCAATAGTTACACGAATGTACATTTTTATACAAGTCTGGGCATTAAAAAGCTAACATAGCTGGCCTGAGGATGCTATCCTTATTAAAGCTGCCTGCAAAGTTGATCTTTGGCTGGTGTCTGGAAACTTGAATTTTGGCAGTGTTCCCTAACTGATAAAGGTGCCTTGTTATGTCTAGACTATTTGTGCAAACAATGTGATTTACGCTGACCACCAAGGAGTTTCTTCTGGAAGTCTGGAATTTTGATACGTGCCACGCAGCAGGTAACTAGATGACCAACACTCAATAAAAATGCTGATTACTGAGTCTCTTATGGGCTTCCCTGGGCAGAAACATTGTAGATGTTGCGACATTTTCATTTGTGGAGGTGGTCGTATACACTGTGTGACTTGTCATAGGAGGGACAAAATAAAGGGGAACCTGTAGATGGCTTTCTTCAGACTTCACCTGTCTTTTCCCCACATGATTTACCATACATCCTTACTACATCGCCATAATAAATCTTAGATGTTAGTGTAACCATATGGTGAGTCCAGTCCTTCTAGCAAATCTCTGAACATGAGGGTGGTCTTGGAGACCCCAGACACAAAGCCCCATGGACGAACATCAACTTCCTATTTTTCATTTGTACTGGAGTCATGTAATTATGTAACTATTGAGGGAAACAGTGTGAGGTATACCAATAACTCCCTGTCCATTGTATTTGTGATGGTTAGGATCATGTATCAACTTGACTGGCTACAGGGTGCCCAGATTAAATACTGTTTCTGGGTATGTCTCTGAGGGTGTTTCCAGATGAAATTTGCCTTTGAAATGGTGGACTGGGTATAACAGGTTTCCCTCTCCAATGTAGGTGGGCATCATCCAATCTATTAAGGCCTGAATAGAACAAAAAGTAGAGGAAGAATTCATCCTTTTTTTGCTTCCAGCCTACCTGCTGGGGCTGGGACATCTCATCTCCACTTCTGCCCTCATTCTTGGATTTATACCATTGGCTCTGATAGTTCTTAGGCTTCAGAACTGGGATGAATTATACCACCAGTGTTCCTGGGTCTCTACATTACAGAGAGCACATCATGGGACTTGCTGAGCCTCCATAATCACCTGAGCAAATTCCTCATAATAAATCACATAGATATTCCTTATAATCATGTATACATACATGTGTGTATAAGTATTTGTGTGTATGTTTTATACATATAAAACAGAACACACACACACACATACATACACACAGCAAAAACACTGGTTTCTCTGGAGAACTCTGGACTCCTCTGATCATAAGCTCTATATTGACTGAAGATTATAACCTATCTTTTGTCACATTACCCTTTTTCATCGAGATTACCCCATATCATAAACAAGATTTTTTTAATATGTAGAAAGATAAATATCCATAGGATATAACCTTTCTTTTTATAGTGATCTAACGTATTCTCTCACCTTGTACACTTCTAATGACCAATAGTATATAATGAAGAGATAAATGATTGGGATTAGAAATTTGGCTTCAAACTGATTTCAGTAGAGATAGACAGATGTGTTTGTTCTTGATAGACGAAGTGAGTTTAATAATATAAACTCCCCATAACATCTAAGTGGTTACCACCCTAAAATTCCCATCCCTGAAGAGGCAGTAAAATGTTGTAGTTCAGACCGTAAACTACGTGGACTGCATCCTGACTCCACTACTTACTACCTAGTCAATTTAGCAAGTTATTTAACCTCTGTGCCTCCGTTTCCTCATCTACAAAATGGAAATAATAAGAAGGGGTAGTTATGAACAGTAAAAGAGTTAATTCTTACAAAGTGCTTAGAACAGTGGCCGTCATAAACACTAAATAAGTGTGAGCTATTATTTTGCAATGAAAAGAAAACAGCTTCATGAATAACACAACAGAGACTGGCTAAATACAATTCCAAATAAAACATTTCTAAGAACAAGATAAGATGCAGGATTGTGGTAATGCTGTAATTAGAAGAAGAAACACTCTGGAATTTAAAGATTCAAGTGGTACATTTCTAACCTAAAGCCCCTGTCCTTTTATACTACCTTACCCCTATCAGCAAAGATTATTCCAAGAACTAGAAAAAAAGGAATATAGAGATGCTATTGGCAAATGCACCTCCATATTACATAACCCACTGTTGCCTCCTACAAGATTGTCTTGTCCCTTTTTGGTGCCCTTAAAGGACAGGGAGAGTAACTTAGATATTGCAGTAGACTGCTTTGATCATGACAATGCCACTGCTCACAAGTACTACCAAGAGCTACCAAGAGAGAAACTCTTCCATTTCCTAGTGCAAGACGCATCTTTGAAGTAATGTCCAAGTAAAGAAGGCTAAGCAATGGGTACCTGTTAAGGCTGATTTACGTTGATTTGTTTCACTCAAGGGCAATCTGGTCAGTGGGAGAAATAGCAAGTCTGCCACATCCCCAAAGTTCTGAGGATTACAAAATGTAAACCCCCCATTTTCTTTGTTTCCTCAATGGAATCCAACTAGAATCTCCTTCTGAATGGTGTATCTCATTAGGAATTAGGGTAATAACCCTAATTCCTAGAATCTTAAATAAGAATTATTTTTCCATCTTTTTGTATATCATTATGCTATGGGATTTGATGTCTTAGCTCCCTTTTTTAGACTCTGGGTAGTCCTTTCTTGAAGATAAACCTAATTATTGCTAAAGTATCATTTGGTCTTAAACATATAAATACATATTGTTAATTTTACCTATAATAGAAATTCCAACTTTTGCAAACATAGAAATCTCAGAAGAAAGAGAAGCTGAGTATGGTTTAAAGACATAATTTTTTTCTTTTTTAAATTGATAAATAAAAATCGTATATATTTATCATATACAACATGACATTATAAAATACATATACACTGTGAAATGACTAACTCAAGCTAATTAACATGTATAACCTCACATATTTATCATTTTTGTGGTGAAAATACTTAAAATTTGCTCTCAGCAATTTTCAAAATTATAACACATTGTTATTAACTATAGTCACCATGTTGTACAATAGATCTCTTGAACTTATTCCTCATATCTAACTGAAATTTTGTATCTTTTGACTGACATCTCCTCAGCCTATACTCCTGACCTCTTACTTTTAACCACCATTGTATTCTCTGCTTCTGTGAGTCAACTCCGAGATTCCACATTCAAATGACATCATGCAGTATTTGTCCTTCTACACTTGGCTTATTTTTTTTAACTTTATGATTCTCTATTTCTAATTGGGAAAGTCAATTTCTATTAGTTCAAGTTTATCTTAAGATGAAGAATTTTGTGGTAGGGAAGGGGACTAGAATAGGCTTATTACAGAGCTTATTGCAATCACATAATAAAATACAAGACATATAAGTCATCTACAAGTCATATAAGAAAGTACTAGACACAGGAAGGCAATAAATTTATACGTACCCTTTTCTAGAGGTAAAAGAGAAAAATAAAAATAGGCCCACACCTTAAAATAAGCATGCATTAGCTGTTTTCTCACTGAGAAATATTGACCCAGTCCATTATTTCACATTTTCAAAAAGCAAACACTTACAGTATAATTAGTGGCTTGAATGTTCCTGAGTGCTGCTTCCAGTTGTGTTATCAAGAAACGTAAAGTCAAAGCAGGAACAATTTCCTCACCACTCTGGCTGTTAGCTGCAACTTCTCTCTGTGGAAAATAATTTAGTTAAAAAAGTATTTAAGTCTGAACAAATATCTACATATGTTTACATTATACAAATAATTCATGCTCATTGGAGAAAATCTGAAAAATAGGATGAAAATGGTTTTTAAAAAAAATCCATACCATCCAGATACACTGTTCTCATGTTGGTTAAGTCGTCTGATGAATGTCATTTGTAACTATTTCCTTAAAACATTTTTTAAAAAGGCATTCCTATACCTGTCAAGGGGTTAGCAACATCCACACCTGCTTCAGAGGAAAGTGGTAATCCCACTTCACTCTCATACATTCTATCGTGTGAAATAGCTGAAATCTTCCAGCTCTGAACCTGTCTGTGGTAAACAGGAATGCTGGCATTAATACCAATAAAGGGGTAAACCATTTGATGCTGCAATCTGATTGCACCTGAGCTAATGCATGCTTATTATGTACTATAGTTTATTTACATGGTTGAAATGAAAGATAGGACTATGTCTTTGTGTCCATTCCCCAATGCTTTCTACCCAACAAGTGCTTGGTTTAAATTACATTATCCGTTTAATGAAGTATAATCTGCATGGAAAATTTAATCTACATTTCCATAACTTGGTTTCCATATGTAATACTTTCCTGTTTCTTTCCTAGCTGACTAGATACTTTATTTCAGTCTCCCTAGCCATCAATTGAATGAGCCTCTTCTCTATCAATACATATTCTCTAGATAAAGTAATCCACTACCATAATTTTAAATAGTATCTACACACTGACAGTTTCCAAATTTTAATTTCTATCCAAGAACTATCACCTGTATTCCAGGCTCACAGCCAATTCAACAATATCTCTTGAATTTGAATAGAAATATAAAACATAATAGGGAAGTTCCACCTCTGTCAAACAGTCTAGGTGGCTTCAAATCAATCTCCCCAGTGACAATAACTAAAACAACTGGACAAAACATAAAAACTAATTATCTGAAAGCAATGGAATTCTACCAAGACAATGAAAACGAACACCTCTGAAAGGCAGTCTCTGGGGAGCTGACTTTCCAAGCTAATTTTCTCATTAAAGTAATTGCTACATTCAGTTGTGGCACAGCCTTCAGCAGATTTGCAAGGCTGGGGGGAAAACTGGAGTGCACAGTCTACAAGGAAGAGCAGCCCTGATAAACAGCCCATTCTTTTGATTGAGGCCCTGTTTTGGTTACAATGGAAGCGGACCAGAATTCAAGGATTTCAATGGAAATTGTTTATTTGGGAAGTACAGAGACAATGGTAGGAAAGTGGAAAAGTAATAAAGTGAAGGAAAAGTAGGCTTTAAGTTAAAGGATGTGTTATTAAGCTAGTTACCCATAGTGGGCCACTGCAGTTATTACAACTGGGAAATTTTGGAAAACTCAAAATTACAAATCAGTATTAACCAACTCAACAGAAGAGGCAACTGGGATATTCATATAACTTCCGAGACCCACTGACTGAGTGCTTTCTGGGGTAATGGGGAAATATCAATTCCTTGGGTCTTCTGAACTGCCATGAGAAGTAGCTTTCTCCTGTTTCAGAAAAAAAAAAATCCCTGAGGCATAGAGATACAGATATTGAAAACTATAATTGTCCAGGGCATACTGAAAATATCGGTAGGATCCAATTGGTATGGGAAGAGCACTGACAGAGTCTGCTACAAAAAGTAGAGAAACTGACCCTTCTTCCAAGAACTAAGTAAAGATTGGAATCATCTCTACCCCAGGTTGAATTACATAATTTACTAGAAATGCAAAAATAAAAATTACTAAAAAAAATTTTTGTTCAGTTTTCTCAGTTCTTCACAGAGAAGGGTTGCTATGAGACAAACCAGGCAGCTACTCCAAGAAGCAGAATTATCTTTATTATTTTCAATGACTACAGTACTTGTATTTATGTTTTCACGTTCATTCATGATGTTGGATATTTTTGCTTTCTTTTTTGGACATACTTATTAAGCATTTGTCAATTTTATTGATCTTTTCAAAAAAGCAAGTTTTGGATTTATTGATCCTTCCTATTTTATGCTTTAAATAGATTTCATTAGTTTTAATTCTCTTTATCACTTCCTTCTTGAGTGCTTTTAGTTTGCTGTTCTTCCATTAACCTCTTGAATGTATGTTTAGATAAATGATACTCAATCTTGTTTCTTTTTAATATTTACATCGCAAGTTATAAATTTTCCTTGAAGCACAGCTTTATCTAATAACACAAGATTTGATATGTTATTTTAATTCAGTTCAAAAATGTATTTAACTTCTACTGTGATTTCTTCTTTGACTAGTTGGTTACCTAGATTAGAGGTATATCTCTTAACTTATGAACATATGGTTTTCTAGATTATCGCTTTTATTGATTTCTAGATTAACTGAATGTTAGAGAACATACTCTGTTATGTTTTGATACTTTGAAATTTGATGGGGCTTGCTTCGTGACCTAGTATACGGTCCATTTTTGTAAATGTTCTGTGTGCACTTAAAAAGGATGCATATTCTGCCACTGTTGGGTGTAGCGTTTATATATGTGTCTCAGGTAGATGAAGTCTGCTATAGTTTACTAATTTTGTGTCCATGTTCTATCAGTTATTAATAGAAGTATGTTACAATATCCCATTGAGATTGATTTGTCTGTTTCCTTTAGTATTATTTATTTTTATCATCTTATCATTCATGAAAGTTCTGCAGATATTTGGATCTACTTCTGGAACTTATCTTCTATTTTCTAGACATGTCTGTGGTATAAAGAACAAGTAACACAATCTTTTAGTTATTAAAGCTTCATAATAACTTTTAGTGTTTAAGTAGGCAAATTCCCAGCCCTACTCCTTTATACTTTTCTTAATTTTCTTGGCTATTTTTCCTCTTATTTCCCATGTGAACTTTAGACTTAGCATTTAGGGACACTAACCAAAAAAATCCTATTATTTTAGTGGAGTTATGTGATATTTGTGGAAAATTGACAGCTTTAATATACTGTCTTCCTACATGTACTATTCCATTCATGTAGTCATTTCTTACACTTTCAATAGAATTTTAGAAAGTTTTATTTACTGTTTTAATAATGAGTACTGACTTCTAAACTTAATGTGACTACAATCAGTGCTTGGGTGCTTGCTAAAATGCAGATTCCCAGATCTATCCCCAGAGATTTTGATTCTTTAGAACTGATACAGGGTCAGATATTCTCATGAAAGTGGTTTAGAACAAGCTTAAGGAAATACTAGTTTATCTTGTACATTCCTTAAGTGTTTTACTCAGTATTTTACTTTTGTTATTATTATAAATAAGTATAGTTCACCCTCCATATCCACAGGTTCTGCCTCTGCGGATTCAACTCACCATGGACTGAAAATATTTGAAAAATAAATAAATAGCAAGAATACAATAATTTTAAAAATTGAAAAGTCAATATAGTATAAGAACTATTTATATAGCATTTATATTGTATCAGGTATTATAAGTAATCTAGGGATGATATAATGTATACAGAAGAAGGCGCACAGGTTGTATGCAAATACTATGTCATTTTACATAAGAGACTTGGGCATTCTTGGATTTTTGTACTGGGGGGTGTTCTGGAACTAACCTCCCACAGATAACAAAAGAAGACTGTACTGTTCTTCTATTTTTACATTCTAGTTGGTATTTTTTACATATCTGAAGGCTACTGATTTCTGTCTTGTTTCTAAGTGATTTCTAAAACATAAGAGGGAAATGATGGCATTATTCTATCAATTTCAAGCCAGAATTCCCTTATACTGTGGAAAATTATCTCAGTTAATAATTGTACACAAAGTCTTTTGAATATCTTCAGAGTTTGTTAGAATGTTTAATCATAATGTGTTTCATGGAAATAATTATATATTCTTTCATAGAAGTACAAATGTAGCCTTCTCAAGACAACTATGGTGCTTTGCCCTTCTCTTCCCTAGTTAATTGCCACAAAGGAAAGAGTATATAATTTTCTTTAACTTCAGAAAACTCTATTTATTTAAGAAATGGTACCCTTTTTATACTAAAAATTACCACAAATTATATAGAAAAACTACTTTCTAGATGGAAATCTACAATATATCCTCTGGAATATTATATGCATAATTCCAAAAGTTTTGGATATGATTTTTGAAAATACATTTTTGACAAATGTGTAACTTTTTTTTTTTGAGACACAGTCTTGCTTTGTCTCCCAGGCTGGAGTTCAATGGCATGATCTCAGCTCACTGCACCTCCATCTCCTGAGTTGAAGTGATTCTCCTGCCTCAGCCTCCCAAGTAGCTGGGACCACAGGCATGTGCCACCAAGTCCGGCTAATTTTTGTATTTTTAGTAGAGACGAAGTTTCACCATGTTGGTTCAACTCCTGACCTCAGTGATCCACCCACCTCAGTCTCCCAAAGTGCTGGGATCACAGGTGTGAGCCACCATGCCCAGCCAAATGTGTTAACATTTTGAGTTAGGAGACCAAAAGCAGTCCCCTGTCCCAGACTGGCAAGTTATAGGTTATTAGTAGGACTGGAATAAACACTAGACCTTGTAGTCAACAGCTTACAAGCTACCAACCCACATTCCAACTATTATTCTTAAAAGGCTAGCACCACATGACTCTATTTTCTCAGTGTTTTAAAAGTCTACAGTCAAGGTTGTACCAAAGTCCTTTACAACAGATAAGACGGAGATTTTTTTCAAGACTGGCTACACTGTGTGGTTAAAATTTTTTTTTAATTAAAGAAGTCATATACAGACAGCTGCACTTCTGCCACAAAGATCAAATTATGATGTTACCTGCATAGTTTGGAAGGAAAAATCTTCTTGTAAGAACTTCTTAACATGAGGAACCACACCTTTTGGTAGAGTATTAATTGCACTTAATAACTTCTTCACTTCTAATAGTAGGTTAACAGGAACAAGATCAGTAGGAACGTCCTTTTCCTGTTTGTCCTAGAAGACATTATTGATTAAAAGTTTACACAATTATGCATATTCTCATTTACTCTAATACCAAAATCAGCCAAAGCATTAAAAAAGGAACAAAGCTTGCTTTACCTTGTTCTTCTGGCTTCTATGACAGAACTATAGAAAATCTAAGGAAGAATAATATACGTTCTCTGCTCTCTAGGAACTTAAAATATTACATATACTCTCAGTAACAGGAAAATTATATCTAACTGTGCTTTTTACATTATATGACTGATGCTTCAGCTATTAAATACATAGCAATTTGAAAATGAATAGTTGTAATAGTTTAAATTGCAAACAAAGTAGTAAATTAGAATGACATCTCACTTCAGTCAGAGCTCTATAAATAGTAATAATTTTCAGGAATTTATTCTTCCAGAATTAATAAAGGCATTAGTAATTTGATAACTACGCAATCAAGCCCTGCTGGAATATCTATTAACATTAGTTGTGAAGAACTAGTGGACAATAGAGATAAATGGCCTGCAACAGATGGATGCTGGCCTTCCTTCAAACCTTAAGAAACCAGAGGTCTTATACTCTGCTGAAACTTCTAGGAATATGATTATGTTGCTATTGATCTCTGAAAATAAGAACTTCTTATTGTAGAAGTCACATAGAGCTTTAGAGGCTGAACATGCCCTGTTATGGGGTAATTCTTTCACTTTCAGTTCTCTAATAGATCTGTAAATAACATCTCTAAAAGATCTATGTAAATAGATCATGTAGAAATGAGTAAAGTCCATTGCAGGACTCTCTGCCTAATCTAACTATGATGTTTTGTCCTTCTCTTCTCTAGTTAGTTGCCACAAAGAAAAGAGTTTGCAGAGGTTATTCAGTAACTTAGGAGGGGAAAATATATAAACATAAAATAACCCTGGTATGTGGTATTCACCGGTATGAGGTTTTCACTGTAAAAAATGGGTTTGAGTGCTACATTAAGATTCCTCCATCCCCATCTATATTCAACAAATGTACCTTAGATTTTATAGTATTTCATAAGATTATGTATGTAGAAAAATGTTAACAGTTTACTGTCTATGAAGGATGTTCATTGTACTACCATTCATTTTACCATCCTTGTAATCTTTCTATAGGTTTGAAATTTTTCAAGAAGTTAAAAAAATTCTACCAAGTAACTAGAAAAACCCCTTATAAAGAATGACCAATATCAGTGGTCCACATAATTCAAACAAAAGGTCAATTCTAGTCAAAAGTAAGGGTAGACTCATCTGATACTAATTAAAAAATTTATACAAAGGCAAGATTATAGCATGACAAAACATTTTTCAACAGGAAATACTATAAGCTTCATGCCTACAGGGTCTTGCTTTGTCACGTAGGCTGGAGTGCAGTGGCATGAACACAGTTCACTGCAGCCTCAACCTCCCAAGCACAAGTGATCCTCCCACCTCAGCCCCTCAAGTAGCTGGAAATACAGATACACACCACCACACCCGACTATTCTGGTATTTTTAGTAGAGACGATTTCACCATGTTGTATAGGCTGGTCTCAAATTCTTGAGCTTAAGCAATTCATCTGCCTGCATTCGCCTCCCAAAGTGCTGGGATTACAGGCGTGAGCTACCATGCCTGGTCCATAATTTTAATTTTTTAAGTTAGTTGTCAAAATATTTGATGCTTCATCCACTTTGACAAAACTGATTTAATATCTAAACAAAATTCAGGTCAAAGTGTCCACCTTTCCTGCTTTTTGTATTCCTAATTCTGTATCTAGAAATGCCTTTTCTGAATCTAGTCCCCTGGTTCTTGCCTTCGCTCAACTGTACAACCCTACATACATTTGCATGTAATGTACTTCCTCTGCAACACTGTTTGCAGTGATAACCTCATGCAGGTGAATACCATGGTTATTTTATGTTTATATAGTTTCCCCTCCTAAGTTACTGGATAACCTCTGCAGACTTTCTCACCCATGTTCCTGCTAACATGTTTCTACCCAAGTCTCATGTTGAATTGTAATTCCTTGTGTTAGAGGATGGACCCGGTAGGAAGAGATTGGATCACTGAGGTGGTTTCTAATAGTTTAGCATCATCTCCCTAGTGCTGTCTTATGATATAGTTCTTACAAGATGTGGTTGTTTGAAAGTGTATGGCACCTTCCCCTTTGCTCTCTCTCTCTCTCTCCTGCTGCCGTGTGAAGATATGCTTGCTTCGCTTTGCCTTCTCCCATGATTCTAAGTTTCCTGAGTACTACCAGCCATGCTGCCTCCTGTCCACCTGAGAAAGTGTGATTCAGTTAAACCTCTTTTCTTCATAAATTACTCAGTCTCAGGTAGTTCTTTAAAGCAGTATAAGAACAGACTGACATACTTATTAACAAGTATTTATCAATCATTATATAAAACTATATGGAAGGTAAAAGTTATACTAATGAGCTCTTTATCAATCTTTCACTAAATATATGAACATATGATGTTCATACAACTATTTTTAACTACCACAAAAGCATATCACTGGTACTAAAAGCCTTTTATGTATAATGCAGAGTTATTCTCTTTCATTTAGACCTAGAAGTTCTAACCATAAAGATAATAAAAATAAATAATAAACTTAACTTCAGAAATGACTCAAACTTCTTATTAAATAAAATTCTGATGTATATATGTGTGTAGTTTTATTGTTGTTTTGCTTGAATGTTCCCTAAAAAGAAAAACATGAGGGATTTCTTAAAATTGATTGTTGGGCTACTTATGGATAATTCGATTTATTTTTTTCCTAATTTTTAGTTATGGTGAGGAATGATGTTTAGAATGACAGCCCTGAGACACGGTACCCATCATCAAAGCAAGATTCCATCGGACGTTTCACTAATGAAAGTAGGAAAGCAGACCCGCTCAAAACATTTTAAAACACAATTAAACTAGCTAAATTTATTGCAGCATTTGCATATATAATTAGTTATTATCAATTGAATAAAAGTTAATGAAAATTAAACTTTGTCTTACCAGTTGAACGGATGATTTTTCTGGCTTATTCTCAGTTTCTTCCTTTCTCTGATCCTCCACATGGGGATGGCTATTTTAAATGAAAATAAGGTGCATTAAGAACATCTCCTTGGCCGGGCGCGGTGGCGCAAGCCTGTAATCCCAGCACTTTGGGAGGCCGAAGCAGGTGGATCACGAGGTCAAGAGATCGAGACCATCCTGGTCAACATTGTGAAACCCGTCTCTACTACAAATACAAAAAATTAGCTGGGCACGGTGGCACATGCCTGTAATCCCAGCTACTCAGGAGGTTGAGGCAGGAGAATTGCCTGAACCCAGGAGGTGGAGGTTGCGGTGAGCCGAGGCCTGAGCCGAGATCGCGCCATTGCACTCCAGCCTGGGTAACAAAGAGCGAAACTCCGTCTCAAAGAAGAAAAAAAAAAAAAGAACATCTTCTCACAAAGAACACAAATTATAGTAGTAAAGAATCTAACAATTGAATTATTGTCTGAAAGTGCAACCAAAGCGTATCAAAGACTGGTAATGATGGTAGGTGCCATATATCTTTAAGGACTCAAATTAAGGAAGACAAATTAGGTCATGCCCTTACTGGATGGTGGTAGAGAAAACCGCAAACTGATTATGAAAAACACTGCTTCCTTAAAAGATGTGCAGTAGACCAAACAAATGGGAAGAAAAACTTATAGCACTGTTTCAAGATAAAGGAAAAAGGTCTTAAAAAGGTTGAGATTTGGTGTGTTTGTTTACAAAGATATTACAGGTTAGGGAGATGTCTATCTTAAATAGATCATTTTATTTTTTGTTTGGGGTTCCTAAACTTCTAATTGTCCAGTTTTCCAAAATATTTTTAATTGAGGAAAAATGTCATATTTAAAAATTATTAACTATTTGGGTAATAAGGAATCACTTGACAGGTTCTGCTTTTAACCTTAGCTCAAAATGTGAACATACTGCAGTATTATACACTGAACAGAAAATTGTATTTATAGTGTTGCTTTTGCCTGCATACAGAATCATTGCATAGGAACCATAATATAGGGTCATATTTGATTTATTTAATACTAACTTTGGACTCCAGAAGACAGAACACTGAGGTGAGAAATTTATATTGACTGATTTATACAGAATCGTACTTTATAAATATTATCTTATTTGACTTTACATTTATGTATTCATTTGACAGACAATCATTTATCATTTAATGATAACTGATTTTGTTGGGGTAAACTGGGACAGATAAATAAAATGTTATTATCCATTTTCAAAATTCTAGTGGAAGTTTCTACAAAAGATGATATACACATGCAAAGATTTCACAATATGATTTTCAGTGCTCTTTAAGGCACCATGGTAAAAAGAAACCTACTAACTGTCTTTTCCTCCACATCAAAGCCCCACTTGCCCCACAAAAAATAAAGCAAAACATAAGTTATATCCTTGTGTTATCAAGGAATGAAAAATATTGCAGCAGTATTCTGAAGTCTTTCAAGGTTTGAGAAAGAGTATAAAATGTTCTCAAATGTATACTCTTCCAGCAAACTCAATTTCATGATCATTCCCTCCTTAACCCAATATTTCTCAATCCTAGATGCATACTAAAATCAACTGTGAAGCTTCTGAAACATCCAGATGCCCAAAACCTACTTCATGTCTTCTGAATCAAAAGTGTCATGTTAGGCTGCTCTATTTTCTATAGGCTCCGTTACAAATTTTGATGTGTAACACCAACTTATCCTCACTTGCTCCTCTGTACAAAATAAAACTAAATCTCTTAGCAACACAGTCACAATACTCTCCAATAATTTTTCTTAAGTACTTTTTCTTGCTATTTCCTCACCGAAGCCAAATGACCTCTCATCCTACCTTGCTTCTAAACCCATCACCATGTTTCTTGTCCTTTAAAGATCAGTTCAAATGTTACTTTGTGGAAACTCACTCGATCATCAGTCAATAATTATTTTTTCTTCCTATAGACAGCCATAGTATTTCTAATAGTTATACAATTTTCCTAAAGATATAATTACTTTTTATATATCTTCCCACTATATTGTAAGCTATCTCTAGGTATACAAACATTGTCTAGTCTTTACTCCTAAGCACCAAGGAATCAGTAAATGCTTTTGTGAAATAAATAGGTCATGCTACTTATTATATGAGATAGTTCAAGCCTGGAGGAAGATCTCCAATATGAACCTGTTTAGCATTACACGAGGTACAGGTGGGCTGAACTTGCCCTGCTGAGAGAAAAGATAACGTCATTTGGCCTTGGCCCACTGAACCACTCAGTAGGGTCTTTTGCATTATGCTTAAATTACCCTTTAGAAAATGGGGATAATAAGAGCACTCACCTCATAGAGTTGTTATGAGGTTTTTGAGTAAAACATAATGTAAAAACAACAATGCTGATAAAATAAGTCTATGTAAGCACTTGCTAAATGATAAAACATTTTGATGAGAACGACTGAACAGTAAGGTATGGCACATTTTTCAACTCTTAGCTCTTCAGTGAGGATGTAATCCCTAGTAAACTTTTGTAAAATTAGATTTCACCCAGTCTACATCACCCACAATCAAACTTGCTGAAATGTCTTGAAGCATACGGGTCTCCTGTTCACACTAGTGTCCCAAGGTTATGTGGAAAAAACAAATATTATGTCTTCTGGAATACAAAAAAGGCAGTTCATTTCTGTCAATCTATCTCCTTTACCTCTGGGGTCCCCAGCCCCCAGGCCACAGACAGGTACAGGTACATGGCCTGTTAAGAACTAGGCTGCACAGCAAGCAGGAAGTAAGCAGTGGGTAAGCATTACCACCTAAGCTCCACCTCCTGCCAGATCAGCAGCACCATGAGATTCTCACAGGAGTGCAAGCTATTGTGAACTGCCTACTCGAGGAACCTAAGTTGCCCACTCCTTATGAGAATCCAATGCGTGATGATCTAAAGTGGAACAGCTTCATCCCAAAACCATTCCCCCACCCCCACCATCTGCAGAAAATTTGTTTTCCACGAAACCAGTTCCTGGTGCCAAAAAGGTTAGGGACTACTGCCTTACCTCACAAAAAATTCTTCTGGTAGAGAATCCATGCTGCACAAGGTTTCTTTACAAAAGTCTTACTCCACTGTTTGCGAAGTGACGTTAAATACTGCCCTTTAGTGCTGTAAGGAAAATAATATTTTTATAAAGGTAGGAAAGTTACTCTCTCCCCACTACGAAAACAGAACATGACCATTTGAAAAAAATTTGAAACAGCTCTAAAAGAAGAATATAAATCACATAGTTTCACCACCTAAACATAATCACTACCTATCCTTTAATATGCTTATTTACCAAGCATAGGTATATTTTACCAATTTGTAATCATATTAAATAGAAGATGTTCTAGCCCACCTTTTTCAATACTGAGTGTTATAGCCAAAGAATCATGTTATTTTATCCTCCTAGTAAACATTCTTAATGGCTATACAATAGCTGGTTGACTGGGATTTCCTTGGCCATTTCCTTATAGTTGGACATTTAATTTCCCATTTTTTTCTATTATAAATAGTTCCATGATAAACTCCATTGTCCACATAGCTTTTTCCATATTTATGATTATTTCTTTATAATAAATTCTCAAAAGTAAAATTAATGTTATCAAAAGACACAAACATTTCATTGTTAAATGGCTCCCCAAAAGGTTTATACTAATTTATTTCCCACAGAGGTATATATGAGTTCCTGCTGAACACCATCTTTCATGACAGCACTGTTTTGTTTCCTTTTAGTCTACAAATAAGATGTAGTTACTTTTTCCCCCAAATCATGATTCTACATCTCCATAAAATAGGAGACACATGGTTTAAAGAACACTTGCACAATATCTCTTTCAAATATCAACTGATGTTGTGGATATTTCCTGAAAGAAAAATAACGCTGAGGCAATACAAATGAAAACAAAGGGACCAGAGTATCCTAAGTATATATAGTTATTTATATAGCTATATATTTCAAGGAAAACTCTTCTAAAAGTGGTCCCATTTAATCTCCTTACTGAGAGTTCAAGCCTCTAGACTCCAGTGTTTTGTGCTAGGCTGGCTTCCTTTTCTGTTCCTACTCTAAGCTCAGAAAGTATTAAATCACATGTAAAAACTATTGTTATATGCTCCGGGCAAAAGATGAAATAGAGGAAATAGAAAAGAAAGTGGCAGCAATAGCATAAATAAAACAGATGGATCGCCTTGGTGCCAAGCACAAGACTGGATAAAGCTTCTCATTTATTGTCTCTGAACTGCTTATTTATCTCAGTAATTGAGTAGCCATTTCTATAACAGCATATTAATACAATTCCATAAATTAGATTGGTACAGCTTTTCTAGGCCAATTATTAAAAGGTAATTCAGCATAGGGTAATTCCCAAATCAATAAAATATATTCCACAAGATCACTATAAATCAACTATTAAGAATTCAGATTGTATTTACTCAAATAAACATTGTTTTAATGATATCCTGTTCCTCCCCCCTCCCCCCCAAAAAAAGCAATTTACCATAGACAGTAAGAAGTAACTGCAGGACCTGAATCTCTCTAATAAACCTTGAAGTCTGTATGTCTTTTCAGTAAGCTTAGAATAAGGGAGGGGGCAACTCAGCCCTGGTATGAGGGCTAAAACAAGTTATGTGGAGATCACAAGCATTCCTAATTATGATACCACATACCAATATTCTACATTTGACTCACACCAACTCTAAGTAACACAGGAAGTCTTAGACAAGAATAATTCTCTAACAATTTGCTACTGATATCTTAATCAAAACACAAAATTACACACACACACACACACACACACACACAGAGAGAGAGAGAGAGAGAGAGAGAGAGAGAGAGTTCCTCCTAAATTTCATTTAAAAGAGAGCTTTCTTCTAGTAGCTCTTAATTTCTTGCTCATCCCCAACAAAAACCCTTCACTGCTGTCAGTACTACAACTTGCCTACATAGAACGAAGAGTTCTCCTAGATAATTATTCTATTTTATAGTCTTATTCTTATTTTAAAAATTCAGTAAGTCATACTTTAATTTGTATTCTCTATTCAAATACTGATGAGACACAAACTGCAGCTAATTACGAAGCAGAGAGGTTGAATAAACCCTGGCATTCACACTAGATCAGATCTGCTTCATCTCGTTAATAAAGCTGTATAGAAAAGAACATAGCTTTGAGGATTTTAGGATTGTGATGAAGCTATTTTTATAGTTTGGTTTCTATAAATCTCCCTGTTATTTTAATAAAAAGTAACGACAGTTAAGGCATTATTTCATAGCTAGAGAATACAAATGTATGCCTTTTCCAGATAAAATAATCCCTTCATTTCCAGAATTTATAAAAGCTCAGACTTGGAGATCTCTCCCTCTGCTAAGCTCTTCTTTGGCCAGTAGCTGTTTGCATAGATCACAGCAAGGATGAAAAGAAGGGAGGAAAATCCTCTGGTTACAAGATAGAGAGAAGGCCTCTGCTAAGCTGTTCAGTGTTCAGCTTGAAAAAGAAATGGGTGGAAAATTAATAAATCAAAAAGATATTTGGATCCTGAATTAATAGAGTTAAGAAAGACTAATAGCTTTTTCAGCCTGCTCAAAATACAACCTGAGATGAATCTCTGTGATGAAAGGTTTTCCAGGAGAGAGAATCATCAATCTCATCATTTCCCAGGAGCTAAGCAGGTATGTGTGGCAAACACTACCGGCAACAGCAACAGCAGTAGCACTTGACAGCCTCTGTTGGGGAGAAAGGCGAAGTGCCTAGCAACCGAAAGGAAGTAGCCAGCCTGAAACGTTACCACTGCGCTGCCAAAATAATCCAAAGGTTTTTACCATTCTAGAAGAGGCTGGAGGAAACCTTTTAAGTCAGGGTTAACATGGGGGGTGGGGGCGAAGGTAAATCTAGTTTCCCCTAGTGGATTCATTTCAATAGACTTTCCCTGTCAGCAGGAAACAAAATTGACTTTTACTACCTGGGATTAAGAGACTGCTTTTCTGCAGGAATCTAGGTCCTTGTTGGTTGATCTGAGGACAAGCTAAAGTTCAACATCAATTTATAGCACACCTTTATCCACTAACCAAGATGATCTTATTTGTAGGCTGTGTTTTACTGGTTGAAAAATAAGGTCTTGCCATCCATATCTTAATAAACAATAATATGCTTTTCTTACTGTTCCTTCTACCTGTGCTCTCACCTTCTTTCTCTCACACCTACTGAAATTTTAACAATTTTTTTTAGTTGTAAAGGTATTTTCTGTTTCAATTTTTAAAGTTGTATATATTCACATCAAAGCAGGCACAGCTCTTATTTATAATTTTTAAATAGTCTACTTAAACATTTAACTTGTGTTACTGTCATCTTCCAAAACTGTACATAGTCACATTTTTATTAAAATCCACTCAAATGTTCATCCTGACTACAATGCTACCAAAATACCAAGGATTCAGTCTAGATCCTGCTGCTGGCTGCCTGGAAAGCTAATAACTGAAACAACACATTTTGCCAAGGAAGAAGGTTTTAATTGGAGAGATGTGAGCCCAGTCTCAAATTCATCTCCCTGACTGACTAAAACTAGGGGTTTATAAAGCAGGGAAAAAATATAACTATGTGCAAAAAAAACAATAACTAGGAAGGGGCAAGGAGGCATCTGGTACCGTGATCTGGTAAGTTTCAGTTCTTGGATATTTTTTTGAGAGGCCTGAAGGTCCTTTCCTGAGGAAGAAACTCAAATAAATAGAAGTTTCAAGCTTTAACAAAGGAAGGATCAATTTCTATGTATATCCAAAAACAATTGTCTATGGCACTACTGGATTGATTTCAAAAATACCTGACCAACATAGAGACTCTAATATACCAACAAGTTCACATTTCAATGTGTGGGTGGATGTCCCATGAATTTTCCTCCTTTGTCAACTCTAGCACTTACAGACTACCCAATGACAGGAGGAAAAAAAGAGTATTGGTGTGGAAAACAGTAAAAATAAAGTTCAATACTTTTCTCCACGCTACTAATTTAAAACAAAGTAATATATTTTGTATTTTTCAGGAAAGGAATTCAGTTATTAAGAACTTTTCCTCTGCCCACTAAATCAGGGTCTCTCAATTTTGGAACTACTGACATTCAGGTTTGGATAATCCTGTTATGGGAAGTTGTCCTAGGCATTTTTTTAAGACATTTCACAGCACCCACTAGCCTCTGTCCACCAGATGCCAGAGGCAGCTCCCTGCCAATACATCCACTCCAATACATCCACACACATCAGCCCCATTGTGGCAATCAACAATATCTCCAGATATTGTCAAATATCCCTTGGGGCATAAAATTACTCTCCATTGAGAACCATTCAGTTAGATGAATGAGTTAAGATTAAGAGGCTTAATTAAGTGGACATAGAGATTGTTTTAGGGAAGAAAAATAAGACCATGCTGACATTACACATGTACAAACATAAACAAACTTATGTCTATAAGAAAGCAAAATAACATAAAGTATCTACATTTCCATTAATGTCAACATTAAGTTGAGAGACTGCATAGTAGTTTAAGAGCACAGAAACCCTGTAATGACTCTGTAAGGTTATCATTTGACACACTCACTGCTTTGACACACACTAGCTAGCTGTGTGATTTTATGTGAAATTAATAAACATTCTCTGTGCTTCAGCTTGCTTATCTAAAACATAGGAATGACAGTACCTCCTCTTTCTAGGATTGTGAAGATTCAGTGCTTAAAACACAGAATAGAATAGTACCTGGCACTTACTAAGCACTCTGTAAGTGTTCCTATCATCACCACTTTCATAATCATCATCATCATCATCATCCAACTGTTTAGGTTTGCAGCAAAATTAATTAACTTGTCTGTGAAGGAGAAATGCTATTGATGAAAAGGAATGTTAATGAGATTTAAGAAATGGGATAAGAAAAACTGTTTTTCAAATATATCACACATGACACCATGACACAAAAGACAGCACAATGTGTGCATACTATTCAGTAACTTCCATTTTTCACACCACCACATATACATCTACTTTAGTCTTTAAACTGCATAATAGGCCAATGTATGAATATATCATTTTACAAATGTATGATAGTGTCATTTTACCAGACCACTGATAAAAACTTCAGCTGTCTCTGGGTTTGACTTTTTAAAAAAATTGTTATTACAAACAATGCTGCAATACCACCACCTTGAACATGCAACTTGGTTAAAATTTTGAGAGCTATTTTGAAAAGCTGGATTTCCTACCTCAACACTGAATTAAATGTACTCCAGAAGATGGGTCTGTTAATGAGCAGACTCTGATACTGCTAGTTATCATTTCTGCTAAATTTTACCAGAAGAACTCCAAACAACTCCCTAAAGTTGAGACATAAGATGCTATGGTCACTTCAAGCCTTAAAAAAACTGAAGAAAACACTTTCAAGAATGTGGCAGGGCATTTTTTGATAGTAATTCCTTGGAATCAGAATTTTAACTATTGTTGATCTGGGTATGTCTGCTAAATTAGCAATAGCCAGCCATTCTTGGTGACTTTTGAAATGGCTGTCTTAGTCACTGGGGCTGCTATTGTAAAGTACCATAGAAACAACATAAATTTATTTCTCACAATTCTGGAGGCTAGAAGTCTGATATCAATGTGCCAGCAAAGTTGGTTCTGATAAGAGTCCTCTTCTGGGCTGCAGATTTCTAACTTCTGATTGTACCCTCACATGGTAAAAAGAGGGTTACAGAGCTCTCTGGGGTCCCTTTTACAATCCTGCTCATGAAGCCTCCACCTTCTTGACCTAATTTATCTCCCAAAGCCCCCACCTCCTAATACCATCACATTGGGGGTTAGGTTTCAACACTGAACAAGGGGGAACACATTCATTCCAACTGAGCAGTTGTTCTGAGTTTACAGAACTAGAAAAGTCTTTATTTCTCATGTTAGTGAACTCTGTGTAGATAAAAATGGCTGAGGCCATTAGGTTAGACCTAAGGAACAACAAGTTGCACAATTATTTTATATTAGCAGTAATTAGAATAAACAAAATATACAGATTACTTGGTTTTATAATTTACTATTAATTTCTCCAGTTTTGAATTTGTTTAACTTCCTGGTAAAGCTACAAAATAAAAACATATAGACATGAGTAGCTAAAATATTATTTGCCCCAAATAATAAACATACAGTTTGCTTAGTCAAACTCCCAAACCGATGGATGGTAGTGGAAAATTCTTTGCAAAAGTTACCAGAAACTGGAAGATATTTTCTGTCCCAAAAGATCACTGTTCATCTTAGCTCTTGCCACTTTGCAAAGATCATTGTTAGCAATATGCCTGCTTAAACCAGGAAACAAGAGCCTTGTAATGTATACGCACCACCTCTTGTTTCAAATAAGCCAACATAGAAAACATCTTTTCCTAAAGCAAAATGAACATCTTGTCTTAAGCAGGTTTTAAATTCTATTCAGATCTATTCAGTTAGTTACTTGCGGACTTACACAGGTAAACCTATAGTATATATATATATTGTTTTGAATAGTTGGAATGTAGCTACAATGAATATGCACAGTTAGGATTTACCTGAAAAACCATCCAGATACTAAACAAGCCATCCATTTCAAATATTTACAGATAGCACTGCAAAAATCACACTCTTCAGAAATGTAGCTAGAAACCACTGGAAGGGAATATGCTACCCTTAAGCACATACACCAAAGGTAGACTATTTTCAGCAATTTAAAAATATTATATTGTCATGACAGTTGTTAGACAATCATGAGAAAAGAAGGGAAAATCCTGAGACATAACACACGCAGACATGGTGACCAACCGGGGAATACAGAATACTTCTTTCATACTTGGCTGTATCACCACCAATGAAAGCCTGCCCTACCCACCGCCAACTTGCTCCACACATGTAAGAAAACTGGCAGCTCACTGTTAACTCAGAAAGGCATACATATGTCGGAAGGGTACAGGTAAGAGGACAGAGCAAGCTTTTGGAAAATTAACTGAGTGTATTACCTAGGGTTGCATTGAAAATAAACTTAATTTTCATCAGCTTCTATGTGCCACGTTCCAAGCTATGTACATTGAATAAACATCTGATCTTTACACAACTCTGGAAGATAAACATTAATCAGTTTCAAAAATTAAGAAACTGAGGCTTAGGGAGTTCTCATAGATAATATATCAGTAAGAGCAGAAATTCATGCCCAAATTTTAGCAACTGCAATTCCGTTTTCTTCCATGTCCCATTACTTCTAGTGCAATATTTAATTTATTCTAGTGCAATATTTAATTAGTTTGATGTACAGTTAGGAGCTGAACTAGATAATATGCACATACACATACTCAGAAACAAAACCATTTACACATCTTATTGGTCAATAAATCATACTGTAAAAGTTACATGCCACCTTAATATTTCATAGTCACTAGTCACATTAGTTTTTCTATTCAACAAAACAATTCAGTTACTATACATGGTACTGAAATAAAGAATGAAATGGACAATAGTTCATGCCTGACTAAATGATCTCTCAAAGTTAAAGATTTTTTAAAATGAAGTCTCTAAACTTTTTTTTATCACATATCCCTAAAACAGTAAAAGATCTGAGAATATGCTGAAAATATAAGAAAATCAATTCACTTATAAATTATATGTGGGCCTAATTATTATAACATAAAAAAGAATGAGATAAAAGCAGTGAAAAAAGCTTTAATACTTGTTCCCACATTTCAATAGGCAAGTTTCACGTATCTCCTGAGGTGTGCATACTATACTTTGGAAACCACTGTCTTAGAAAACAGCTTCACATTTTAATTCAGGAAATAGATATCCACCCATTTCATAAGCCTAATAGTATTTATTTTCTGAAAGACTAGAAATTTATAGGTGAGATAAGTAAAGACCCATGCTCTGCATCAAAGAGATAGGTCTTCAAGAAATAGCAGTTACCAGGATTACTGTACCTTAACTTAAAAGTATACCACTGTCATCTTTACTTATACTCAACACTGGATTCAGAAACAATGGATAGTACTTGTGTTTAAAAAAAAAAAAAAGACAAGGCAACATTCTTATTCTGGGATAGATGTGATTAGATGTGTGAGATGTGGGATAAGATGTGAAAATGAGAG